GGGTTCGGCTCCTATAAATAGCCGCCTCCCCAGCCCCTCTAAACACATCACAACGAGCAGAAACACAATAGAGAGAGTGTTTAGAGAGCTTCGGTTTTCGCACAAAACCGCGAGTATTGAGAGGAGCTGTTTTATCCTGGAGACGACCGGTTGATAGTCTGCCGTGCGCATCGAAGGCAGTGCCGCGAACATCTTAAAGAAAGCGACCTAGTCCGCGACTCAGCTCCAGATTCGGTAACCTCGTTCCTTTTGTTGTTCCGTTCCTAACAATTTTAAGACGATCGGCTGCTGCTATGTCGACTGAACAGAACAACATGGCCGGATCTGGTGCTGTCGATATCAATCGACCCTTTCGCTTCGTTGGGGTCAACTTCCGTCGCTGGAGGCAAAAGATGGAGTTCTACCTGACAACCAAGAAGCTGGCCCACTGCCTCACCAGCATGCCTGTCGAGCTGCCGGAAGAAGCGACCGATGAGGAGAGGGCTGCTTCTGCCAGGGAAAGGGAGCATGACTTCCTGTGCAAGAACTACATCCTCAACGGCCTGGCAGACGATCTGTACGACTACTATGCGGACAGTAAGAACACCGCGATGATGATCTGGGATGCGCTTCAAAAGAAGTACGACACGGAGGAGGCTGGAGCTAAGAAGTATGCTGTCAGCCGCTACCTGCGCTACCAGATGGTGGATGACAAGTCCGTAGAAGTTCAGTCCCACGAACTTCAGAAAATAGCTCATGAGATCGTCTCTGAAGGTATGCCTCTGGACGATCAATTTCAAGTTGCTTGCATTATTGATAAGCTGCCCCCTTCGTGGAAAGATTTTAAGAATATGCTTAGGCACAAAACCAAAGAATTTTCACTGGAAAGCTTGATTACTCGCCTAAGGATTGAGGAAGAGTCCCGCAAGCAGGATATGAAAGAAGAGGTGATGGTCGTCACTGCTAAACGACCCACCCCTAGAGCTCTTAAACCTAACCAGAAAGGGTTTAAGAGTAAGAACCAGTAGGTCCGCCCCCACCAGAATGGTGCCTCTCGAGGTAACCAAAGGGTCATGGCCCAAACCTCTAAGAATGACCCACCGTTTATCTGCTATAACTGTGGAAAACCGGGTCATATGGCAAAGAAGTGCCGGAACAAGCAAAACCCTGCCGCTGCGGCCAGGGTTAACTTGACAGAAGAGGATTTGATAGCCATGATCACAGATATGATCGCTGAAGTTAACCTCACCGGTGACTCAGAAGGATGGTGGCTGGATACAGGTGCATCGAAGCATGTATGAAACAATCGTGCTATGTTCAAAACATACACAGAAGCACCTGCTGACAAGAAAGTATTGTTGGGGACTACCCACACTACTATGGTTGCTGGTTCTGGTGAAGTGGAGCTGAACTTCACCTCTGGGAAGAAGATGGTGCTCAAGGATGTGTTGCACACTCTTGTTTCGGGATATCTTCTTAATAAGGCTGGGTTTAATCAAACTATTGGGGCAGACTTGTATACCCTTACTAAGAATGGGAGTTTTGTGGGAAAGGGATATGCATGTAATGGGATGTTCAAGTTGAATGTCGAAATTAATAAGATGAATTCTTCAGTTTACATGGTGTGTGATTTGAATGTTTGGCATGCTCGTCTTTGTCATGTGAACACACGAATTGTGAAGAATTTAAGAAAGCTAGGGCATATCCCTAAACTCTCAATGAATGAATTTGATAAATGTGATTTCTGTAGCCAAGCTAAAATAACGAAAACGCCCCATAAATCTGTGAGTAGAGAATCAGAACCCTTAGATCTTATTCATTCTGATATTTGTGAACTAGATGGGACGTTAACTAGGTCTGGCAAGAGATACTTTATCACTTTCATAGATGATTGCTCTGATTATTGCTTTGTTTATTTGATGAAAAACAAAAGTGAAGCCCTTGATATGTTCAAGGTATTTGTGGTTGAATTTGAAAATCAGTGCAATCGAAAGATAAAAAGACTTAGGAGTGATAGAGGATCAGAGTATGACTCTAATCCCTTCAAGGAATTCTATAGCTCACATGGTATCATTCATGAAACCACGGCACCATATTCACCAGAAATGAATGGTAAAGCTGAGCGGAAAAATAGGACGTTTACAGAATTAGTCGTGGCTATTATGCTCAATTCTGGAGCTGCTTCTTCTTGGTGGGGTGATATTTTGTTGACAGTTTGCTATGTGCTAAACCGTCTTCCAAAAACAAATAGAAAAGAATCACCCTATGAGATCTTGAAGAATAAGCCACCTAATCTGTCCTATTTAAGAACGTGGGGCTGTTTGGCCTACGTAAGAATTCCGGATCCTAAGAGGATTAAATTGGCTAGTCGAGCAAATGAATGTGTCTTCGTTGGCTATGCGGCCAATAGTAAGGCATATAGATTCTATGATTTGAATGCTCGTACTATAATAGAATCCATTGATGCTGATTTCTTTGAGACACGATTTCCATTTAAAACAAGAAATAGTGGGGGTAATGTACTACCTACTATTAGAGATAACGGAACTAGTGGGGGTGTTGGTTCTGAGGATGAACTCAGAAGAAGTAAAAGAGCTAGAATCTCTAAAGATTTTGGTGATGACTTTACTACAGTATTCACCCTCGAAGATCCAAAAAGTTTGCAGGAAGCATTAACTTCCGTAGATGCAGATTTTTGGAATGAGGCCGTTATAGATGAAATGGAATCGTTAGAAGCTAATAAGACTTGGCATCTAACAGACTTACCTCCTGGCTGCAAAGTCTTAGGTAATAAATGGGTTCTAAAAACGAAACGGAAACCTGATGGTGCAATCGAAAGGTTCCGAGCTCGCCTAGTAGTTAAGGGCTACAGGCAGAGAGAGAATATAGATTTCTTCGATACCTATTCACCAGTATCTAGAATAACATCCATTCGTGTAATGATTGCTCTTGCTGCCTTGAACAATCTCGTGGTACACCAAATGGATGTTAAGACCGCTTTTTTGAACGGTGATCTAGATGAAGAAATCTATATGGAACAACCAGAAGGGTTTGTTATCCCCGAACATGCCTCGAAAGTCTGTAAGTTAGACAAATCATTATATGGTTTGAAACAGGCTCCAAAACAGTGGCATGAGAAGTTTGACACTCTCGTTCTCTCACATGGCTTTAAGGTGAATGAAAGTGACAAGTGTATTTACTGCAAGTCAGAAAATAACACTTGTACTATCATATGTTTGTATGTAGATGACATGTTGATATTTGGTACAAATATTCACGTGGTCAATGAAGCAAAAGCCATGTTAAAAGAGAGCTTTGAAGTGAAAGATCTGGGAGAAGCAAAGTTTATGCTTGGAATCCAGATAACTAGAACAACAAATGGTTATTCTCTAGATCAATCTAGCTACATAGAGAAGATCTTGAAGAAATATAACTATTTCGACTGTAAACCTGCGTGTACTCCGTATGATGCTAGTGTAAAGCTATTTAAGAACACTGGAGACAGTGTAAGACAATCAGAATATGCTAGCATCATTGGCAGTCTCCGTTATGCTGCGGATTACACTCGACCAGACATTGCATATGTCGTGGGATTGCTTGGCAGGTTTAACAGCTGTCCTAGTAGAGAGCATTGGAATGCTATAGAGAGGGTCATGAGATACCTCAAGAGAACAGCAAACCTTGGTATACATTATCAAAGGTTTCCTGCTGTACTAGAAGGGTATAGTGATGCGGATTGGAATACCCTATCAGATGACTCCAAGGCAACCAGCGGGTATGTTTTTAACATCGCTGGTGGAGCTGTGTCTTGGAAGTCAAAGAAACAAACAATCATAGCTCAATCAACTATGGAATCAGAGATGATAGCACTAGCAACGGCTAGTGAAGAAGCAAGTTGGTTGAGAGGATTGTTGTCAGAGATTCCCCTATGGGAAAGACCGGTCCCTCCGGTATTGATCCATTGTGATAGTACCGCAGCTATCGCTAAAATTGAGAACCGGTTCTATAACGGAAAGAAACGACAGATTCGTCGTAAGCACAGTACTGTAAGAGAACTCCTAACGATAGGAGCAGTGAGGGTGGATCATATAAGATCCGAACAGAATCTAGCTGATCCTTTGACGAAAGGATTACCTAGAGAGAAAGTCCAGAATACCGCCAAGGGTATGGGACTTATGCCTACCGAACCACGGACTACAAGTGATGGTAACCCGACCCAATAGACTGGAGATCCCAAGAAATGGGTTCAATGGGTAATAACAAGTCATGAGTAGTATGCGAAAAGTTCATGCATAGTGAAGCATGAATCCCAAAGCAATGGAGGTTGAGTTAATAACTCTTAATGAAGTCTATACCCTATGTGGGGTGGAGTACTTTACTTTGGGGGTACTCTTGATAGACTCACCTATGTGAATGTGGGAGTGGGGCCGCTCCCTATGGAACTTTGGAGGCACAAAGTTGCTAGAGCGTTCACTAAACCAGGGTAACGTGCATGGCCATAAACGCACGGGCTATGAAGAGAACACAACTCAATGAAAAGATCCGGTGTGCTACACTGTCTGAGATAGGGTTCAAGACTACGAGTCACCCTTATGAAATCGGAAGTGTAACCACTACGCTAAGGTTCAAATCTTCGCGATACCTTAGCTTATGCCCGATCTTATGGAACTGTTGATGCTCAGAGATAGTTTCAAAACTATTGAAGTGGGGGATTGTTGGAAATGTATATGAATGTATATGAATAGCTTTGAAAGCTATAGAGTCTCTAGTAGAAAAACTACCACATTGGTAGTTTTACTTGGTGAAATGTGTATAAAGATAAGAGTCTCTCTCCCAAGGGCATGCCCCTTGGGGTGACCCACTTTTGTGGGAGAGGGAGGACCTAATGGACCACCACACGCGCGCACGCGCGCCGTCCGTCCGACTGACCGGTCGGTCGGTTGGTTGGTTCACTTGAGACTATATATATATTTTTGGAGAAATTCCGAACGAAATTAATTATTTAATAATTAATTATTAATCGGTTATTCTGAGGTATATTCCTAAGGATAATCGACTAAAACGGAATATTCGAAGGATAATCCCTCCGGGTTTATCTTAACCGACGATTTTAATTAAGGAAGTAATTATCTTCCTTAATTAATCCGACTTATTCCCCAAGCAAGAGGGTATATTCCTAGGGGTTCGGCTCCTATAAATAGCCGCCTCCCCAGCCCCTCTAAACACATCACAACGAGCAGAAACACAATAGAGAGAGTGTTTAGAGAGCTTCGGTTTTCGCACAAAACCGCGAGTATTGAGAGGAGCTGTTTTATCCTGGAGACGACCGGTTGATAGTCTGTCGTGCGCATCGAAGGCAGTGCCGCGAACATCTTAAAGAAAGCGACCTAGTCCGCGACTCAGCTCCAGATTCGGTAACCTCGTTCCTTTTGTTGTTCCGTTCCTAACAGTTAATTCTTGACCAAGAAGGCAAGCATTGGGAGCAAGAGGTTGTTTGTTCCGGAGAGGAACCAGGCGGAGCATTTGAGTTCACTGGAGGAAGGAGTGAAAGATAGCTCCCCTGTTTCGGTGCAGGATCCTTGGTTCGGTGAACACAGTTCGCCTTCATCGAACAGCTTATTGATGTAATGCAGTACAGTGAAGTTGAGTGCTTGGTTCTACAGAGATCCCTGACCCATCTTCCTGTGAATGCAATTGAGGTATATATTATGTAGTTTCATAGCAGATCCTCAATATACAACACTGTAATTGAAAACCTGAGATGAAGTTCATTTTGTTGTTGTTCTCCTACCGTAATCGTGATAAATCTGAACGGGCTAATATCCCATTTGGATGGGTTCAGCATCTTCCGAGAAGTTGTCTCTACATAACGACATGCATGTAACAGCAAACACTGGAATCAAGGATTGATTCTGTCTTCCTAAAAGAGAAAACCTCAGCAGGAACCACAGATAAGCCGATTTCAAACGCTGTAAAGTGTAAACTGCAATGTATATTCACAATCAAGTTGACATGAGGTATGCATCGTTCAAAAGTACAAGGCTTCAGTATACATGAAAGTTAACGATAGTGTCAACTGTGAATTACCAAACTTGTTTTTTCAAATGGAGATGCAGAAACTGCACTTCCAATCCAGTCAACCATGGCTTCTAGGATCAGTAACCGGGCGAGGTTTCCTTGATTCTGCTTTCGAGAACTGCCCAACCACGCGAGCATGAGGCACGGTTGCCTCCCCTTTAGCAAGCGCCTCGACATTGTCCAGAAGGTACCGCCTCGGCAGCCTCCCAACCACATTGCCTTCTTCGTTCCCATCTCTGTCGAGGAACGCGAAATGTGGGATCCCCTCAACTCCAAACTCATCCAGCTCTTGCTCCCACTTCGTGTTGTCCACATTCAGCATCACAAAATTCACTTGCCCTCTACACAGCACAGAAATCACAAAAGCAATTTCGAAACTCTGAAACACGATATCGAAAAAAGCTTATGATCTAAAGAACCAAGCCATAAAGAGATTCGATTTACTTGTACTGCTGCTCGACTTTGTACACATCTGGGGCTAACTCTCTGCAAACCTCGCACCAATCTGCATAGAACTCCACCACCGTCGGCTTCCCATTCGATAGAGCCTGCAAAAGAACACATCACAAGAACATGTAATTGTTATCCTCGTAGATTTACTATCACTATTCACTATCAGCAGAGTCTTGCCATTCAAATGCTCGAAAATTAGCTTCCTGATTGGGGATTTGCAGACGAACGTACCTCTTCATAAGGCAATGCAGCGGCGGATAAATCTTTCAGGGAAACCCCAAAATCCAGCCGCCCCGAAACGAAAAGGCCGACGCCGAAGAGCCCTGAACCAACTGCTATCCTTCGATTCAGATTCCTTGTCGGGAATTCGGGGAGACCAGCAGAATCAGAAGACGAACTCGTCGTCTCGCCGGCGCTGTCCGTCCCCAAACTAGCAGGCTCCTTTTCCTGCAGTTGTTAAACAGAATGAATCACAATCTTAACTCAAGATAATGAAGAAGCATACGGAATACGCAGCGCGCACCTCGACGGTGGAGCTCTCAGCCGGGGAGTTGGGTTTGGTTTGGCACGCTACGACGGGGAAGCGTCTACGGGATTCATCCCGGCAACGGAAGAAGGCTCTGATAGGCGGCGGCGGCGGGGATTCGGCGGTGTGGAAATGTGGCCGGAATGTGTGGATGGAGTTCGAGGCCACATGAGCCATTTTGCAGATAATATTCAGTGCCAAACAAACAAACAAACAAACAAAAAGTTCTTTTCCCTTTTGTAGGAAGAGGGTTTATCTTTGCCGCGCTTAATCACTAGCGAATTAAGGGCGTGTTTGGCTTTTCACCACTTAATAAAAATGGATTTTCCACGTGTATGGCTTACAGCTCTCGGCGTAGACGATTTATGAATTTCTCCTTTTTCATTATTGGTCCAAGCCAAACACGAACGAAATCTTAATCTACAGAGAAGAAAAAAATTACAGGGGAAAAAATCAATTGAGGGGAGCAATTCCAGCTCGGCAAGATTTTCAGGCTTCCGGCCCCAAAATCCCGTTGACGACGGAGGTAGCCACGAGAACGGCGATGGCCTCCGCTCCGACGACGGCACCGGCCTGCGCGAGTCCGCCGAAGCTCACCGCTTCCTCGACCCCTCTTTCAGCGCTCTCGATTCCTTTCTCCGCCGTCACGAGCCCTCTCTCCACCGACTCTATGCCTTTCTCGGCCGTCTCGAGCCCCTTCTCCGCCGTCTCGAAGCCTTCCTTCACCAGCAGCTCCGCTTCCTCTTCCGCTTTCTTCAGCTTCCTCTTCAGTCCGAACAGCGGGATGTCCTGCGCTCTGGAAATCGATTCTTTCATCGACAGCGCCGGAGCCGCAGTCATTAGAAAGAGTAGGTTTCTCCGGGTGCAGAGGGAGACGGGAGAGGATTTCGACGCCGGCGCATTGCGTGTTACGAGAGCTCGGATGACGGAGGATTGCGCCGCCGTGGCAGCCATTGATTTAACTTGAGGTTGAAAATGAACTTCTTGATTCTTCCCATCCAGAAATGGGAGCGAATTTCTTTATACTTGGCGCTCTGTTGAGGAAATTACCATTATATCCCGCAGAAGCTGATCCAACTTCCAAGTAGCTGCTAGGAGCCAGGAGGGCAGATCTGGTATTTAGATTGATGAATCGGCGTCGTTTCACGATTTGGAGATGCGGGGTTTTCGTTTTTGTATGCAAAGTGCAAACCCAAACCCTCAAACCCTTTTTTCCCTCTCGAAATCATTTTTCCTTTTGCATTTCTTTGTCGAAATCAATGGCGGAAGAAGAAGCAACGGCGTCGGAGTCCTCGGTGACGATGGCTGAGCAGGCCGCCGCAGCGGAGACTGCGCCTATTGAAGCTCAAACTTCGATCGAGGCCACCATCGAATCGTACGCTCTGGGAGGTGCGGAATCCACTTGCAACAACAACGAGAATGAGGCCAAGAGCGGCGGTGGGGAAGCATCCGCGGTGACTTCTGATGGGGGCGAAGAGATGTCACTGGAGTTCGCGGAAGAGTTGACGGAGAAAGGAACCACTGCTCTAAAGGAAAATGAATTCGAGGACGCTGTCGAGTGCTTCAGCCGCGCCCTGGAAATCAGGTTAGGGTTTTTGAATTTTCTAAAATTTTACTTCTTCGCTAGAGTGTTAGTCAGTCTCAGTCCTTGGTGTTAGTTCTTCATTGTAGCACTAGGTGAACAGAATTGTTGAAGCTTGGAGCTTCACCGTGTGTAAAAATTATCTAGCCGATGAAATGAGAAGTGCTGATGCGTCTCACCTATAAATGCATAGTCCATTGAAAGTAGCTTCTGCTTCTGGAAATTCATAGGGTTAAGCATTTCGGTGAACTTGCTCCTGAATGCGTCACTGCATACTACCACTATGGCCGTGCTCTCTTGTATAAAGCTCAAGAGGAGGCTGACCCATTGGGTTCAGTACCGAAGAAGGACAGTGAATCTAAGCAGCCATCTGGTAAAGATGTGTTTGTGAAGATTTCATCTAATGGGGAATCTTCTTCAACATCAAGCAAGGTTCAAGAGGATGGGAGTTCCGGTCATCAAAAGGAAGCGACGAACAATGGTTAGTGTGTGTTGCCTTAATAAAACGTTATTAGCATTGAGGTTTTTGTTTCTGGGAAGGGAGTGTGAGATGTTGCTGCACTTTCTTGATCTGCCAGGTGTGAAAGAACAGGAAGATGACGAAGAGGAAAGTGATGACGATGAATTGGCTGAAGCTGATGAGGAGGATGAGTCTGATCTTGATTTGTCCTGGAAAATGCTGGATCTTGCGAGGGCAATTGCTGATAAGAATTCTGGTGATACCATGGATAAAGTGGATGTACTATCAGCTCTAGCTGAAGTTGCCTTAGAGAGAGGTCAGCTGGTCTTCTTTTTGTTTGACTTGAAATGATGATCATGACTGACCCTTAAAGTTATCGACCTTTCTGGCTAATATATTTCCCTCGTTCATGGAATCTTGTTGACTTTGGCCGTGTTACAGAGGACATTGAAACATCTCTCAGTGACTACCAGACTGCTCTATCCATCTTAGAGCGGCTCGTTGAACCTGACAGTAGGCTTATAGCTGAACTGTATCCTCTCGATTATATCTATCGCTTATCATTTACTAGAATGCCATTTTTTTCCTGGATTGCCCATATATTTATGCATTTCGTACTTCTAGCAAGTAGGCGATAAACATGACCTTGACTATTCCCACCAGAAACTTCCGGATCTGTTTATGTCTGGAAACTGGCTCTAGGGCAGAGGAAGCAGTCCCCTATTGCGAGAAAGCTATTTCAGTATGCAAGTCACGTCTGCATCGTCTCGTCGCTGAAACAAAGAGTTCTTCTGAGTCAGCAGCAACATCAGCTGTTTCAGAAATGGATGAGGGTGTGCAGCAGTCATCTACTGGACCTCTGCCTGACATATCTGTATCAGACAAAGAAGAAGAGATTGAAACACTTACTGGTCTATCTCTGGATCTAGAAAAGAAGGTATGGATGCATCTTTAGTTTTCCATGTGATATTTGTACCATAATGCTGCATTGCCGTTGGTGGAAGATGGATTGGGTTTGAACGGGCTTGTGGATTTATGGGATGAGTTCAAGTAGGTTTTTGATTGTTGCTAGCAGAAATTTTTTATGTAGTATGGAGGGTATTCTGGTCATCTGTGAGGCGTAAAGGCTGTTGGATAAAGCGATAGAAATGATAGCGGTGGATTAGTTTGTTAATTGCCAGAGGAAGTGACCATAAACATGAAAAGTGAATGGCGCCATATAGTAGTTTTCCTGTAGATGGACTGTATTGCCAGAGTAAAAGTTTCTAGGTACTAAATGCAATACCCAGTCTGTTTAGGTACTAATTGTAGCAATGGCAATTTTTCACAAACGAATCAACCCTACCCAATTGATACTGGTCAAATGGGTTTGGGTTGGATTTCGAGTGGATGGATTGAGTTGGTTTCACTTGGGCCGAGACATTGGTATCTCTATGAACCAGGCATTGCTGAATTGACTCTGTGTTTGATGGGTTTGTTGCAGCTCGAAGATCTCCAGCAGCTAGCCGTGAACCCAAAGTCGATTCTTCAAGAGATCCTGGGAATGGCAGCAGCCAGGGCCAGAGGCGACGATCAGAAGACTGCTTCCCCGGGTTTAGGGAGCTCTTCTTCACGGTTTGCAATGAATAGAAATGCTGGCGAGTCGGAGTCCCCTACTGTCTCGACTGCTCATACAAATGGAGATGATGGTGGTGTTACTCACCTGGGTGTTGTTGGGAGAGGAGTGAAGCGCGTGTTGATGGCCCCGATCAGCCCAGCAAAGAAACCCGCTGTTGAGGCATCGACAGACGGAGCAGAGGGGGATGATGATGCCAAAGCTTCTTGAATGTCCGGTTTGAATCTCGATCGTTGGACCTTTTTTTAACTATTGGGAGCTCACTATAGATTAGTCTTATGAGGATGGAAAGAGGACTTAGTTACATCGTTTCTGCATTCTGCTCGTGTTGCGTGACCTTAGTTATACTCCCCCCTGTGGTATGTAGTAGGATTGTGTTGCTCAAACTGATTATCTAGTGTTTTAGGTCAACTTGCTCCAAACCAAATCATCCACCCTAACTTTCAAATCAATTCGAAACAATGAGTAATGAGATGTCTGTTATGTCCGATTCGAGCCTTGTTCATCGACATAGAAAGTTCCGCTGCAACTTCTCCCACATCGAGCTCGAATATGTCGGATGATGCTAACTATGAACCACCTCTTCTCGCCACGTAAATACAAGGCGAAAAATCTTGTTATGACTGGGAATGAAAAAAGCGTGGAAGCAAAGGAAGAAGTGATCCAAAGAATTTTTCCTTTTCCTCTTTGAGATAGATCGATAGATAGGATTTGGAGATGTGTTATAAGGTAGAAAGGCAGCCACTGCCCACTGCATGTGCCGCTCGTGAGCTGGCGTATTCGTTGTTTTCCACTTCCCGCCTCCCCTTCGCTTCAACAACTACCTACCTAACCACCAGAAAGATGCCCACCAACCGCCACCGCCACCTAGGGATGACAACTTTGTCCATACCCATGGGTTTCTTACTATCCAACCCAATTGGGTTGGGTATGAAATCCAAATAGATGGATATGGGTAGAGTTTGATGGGTTTGTACTCATACCCATTTACTTTGGGTTAAGTTGGGTTTATATCAAATGGATTTAGGTTTGTACCCATGCCCAAATACAAATTACATTTTGGTACCCAAACTTAATAAATATTCATATTTAGTACCTAAATTTAATTTTTTTTGCATATGTCCTCAAAATATCGATGGAAAATTACGTTTTGGTACCTAAATTTTTTTGGTCTTACATTTTGGTACCTATACTTTTCAAGTTTTACAAATAGGTCCAAATTTTGCATATGTAGTTAAAACACCCTCGAGTAAATGGATATCCATATCCAACCCATACCCATTTAGATTATGGAAGCCCCAAACCCATCTATAAACCCCCAAATCCATATGCACTTCACCCATACCCAACCCATTATCAATGGGTCTACTTGGGTTTGGGTATAATTACCCATGGGTGGGTAATTTGCCATCCCTACCGCCACCCACTGCGGACACCGCCTCTGCCTCCACCGCTCCAGCCACCGTAGGTTCGTTGTGTGTGTATTTAATTGTTTTTGCTATAATCGAATTTCAGCCACGAATAAGTTTTAACAGTGGATATTGAATAAGTTTTTCCTGATTAGTTGAAAAATGAAAATTAATGTTTTACTGGGGTTAAAAGAATTATTTAAAATGTTGAAAAAAGAGGATAGGTATAAGTAGATTTTGAGATAAACCAAAATATGAATTGTGGAGAACAATTGCGGGAGAGCAGAAATAATACTCATGCACATTGGAGAATAATCAATAGAAGAAGAAGAAAAAAAGGAACGGAATTGATCGCTATATTTACAAATCATGATAATATGACGCTAAATCATTAGTAAAATAAGAATTTGTGAGTAAAATAGAGTCTGTATAATATAAATAAATAGAATCCACAAAAAATAGGTAGTGATATATGATAAACTTTCACTTCTTTTCCACCTCGGCTATTTCCAAAGAGTAGTATTAGATTAAAATTTTATATCATTTGATAGCGGATCAATGAATTATTGTTATTTAGTCGAGCTAGATTTGAACCAGTGTAGACATAACTATGTGAATGAATAATAACCATCTCAAGCATATCGAGACATATTAGAAATGATATTAGAAATTACCACTAATTACGACAAATCCTACCACAATGACAAGAATTATGTGGTTGGTGCACTATGCACAGTTGCTTTCCCAGTTTTGTACGCCGATGGTTAAGTATAGATTATAGAAACACTAGTATTTATATAATGCTTTAGATTCTGACAGCATCTATACTGTCTGTGAGTATACCTACTGCTATTTTGGCCATATGGTGTTAGTACCTGCTACGTTACGTTTAATAATAAAAGAACTGGTAAGCCATAATATCTTGTTGATAGATATCTTAATAATTAAATTTTGATTCCATTTGGTAATTAATTCTTAATGTTGTTTAATACCGGCCGTTTGTTAAATATGACTCTTTTTTTCTATTTTTTTGTACTTATATGGAACAGGCTCGGCTGGGGAAAATGTTAAAATAGCTTAGAAGAGAAGGAGGCTGTCGTTTTATGAGGCAGTGGAAGTTTCTTTTTTTGAGAGAATGATGATGGAGAAGAATTAGTGTTGATCGTTGGAACTTGGAAGAACAAACAAACGGCAAATCATGTAAGAAGGATGGGAGGAAATTTGTGGTCAATTTCTAACTGACCAAACCCATTAATTTCCTCTCTTTTTGTTCAATGTTTTCTGGTCTTGTACTTCTTGCAATGTGGGAAATTCCCATGGTTTCTTGGAGTTTGGATTGAGCCCATAAAAAAAGCATTTGGTAACCTGATTTGTAAAATATGTTTAGAACCATCTGGTTTTCTAGTTGTTATTCATGTATTTATTTTACTTTCTTACATATTTTTTCAAACGAAAATTAATTCATAAGTAGAAATTGCGAGGACATGAATATGAGCCATATGTCAATAAATCAAGCAGAATCGTAAAGAACGCAATAACTTTTTTTAACGTGGTATCGTCAGTATGACACTAGTCCACGGAGAGGATCTCCCTCTCGGGTTTTAGGTTTTCTTATTTCGTTAATCTTCCAGTACAGTTTACAACGATATAAATAGGTTGCTAATACAACCCTAATCTCCAAGTGACTATTTACAACTTGGTACCTATAATTATTAACACCGTCTCTCAAATTAATGTTGGGTACCAATATCTACTCGAAGATACAACCTTAGTGAGAATGTCTGCAGTCTGATCTTCAGTATTCAGATAGCTAATCTGTATTGTTCCCTCTGCTACCAGCTGACGGATATAATGCACATGAACTTCTATATGCTTGGTGTGATCATGTAGAACATGATTGATGGCTATCTGAATTGCACTTGTGTTCTACAATCAACTCCTAGCTCAAGAAACAATCTCTACAGCCAGACCATCTCTGAACTAACCTCGGCAATGGACATGTACTCTGCCTCAGTAGATGATTTTGACACCCTTTTCCTGTTTGCGACACCATCATGACACAAAGGCTTTGCCAAAACGAACACACCAGCCAGACGTAGATCTCCGCGTATCCAAACATCCAGCATAATCTGCATCTGCAAATGCCGCAATCACTGGCTCCCCTCCTACAGGAAAGAAAAGTCCAACCTCTGTAGTATGCTTGAGATATCTAAGCAGTCGATGAACAACATCCAAATGAGCAGTCCGCGCTATGCCCACAAACTGACTCAAAACCTGAACTCTGTAGGCAATATCCGGCCTAGTATGAGTGAGGTAGATAAGACTACCCACAACACTGAGATAAAAAGTCTGATCTTCCAGAAGCTCCCCACTAGAACGACTCAGCTTCAGATTCTGTTCCATGGGAGTAGCACATGGATTGCAACCTGCGTACTCGGTTGCGGCCAACAAGTCGATGATATACTTCCTTTGACATACCAAAATGCCAAACTTAGACTGTTGAACTTCCAATCCCAGAAAATAAGATACAGAACCCAATTCTTTTAGATTGAAAACCTATGGAGATGCTGAGTAAGCTCATGAATATTGTCCTAATAAATCTCCTGTAACAATTGTCATCCACATAAATCAAGAGAACTATAATACCTGAAATTTTCTACCGAGTGAATAAAAGAAGGGTCACTGTGACTCTGTGTAAAACCAGCTTGTAGAATAGTGCTATGGAATTTTTCAAACCATGCCCTAGGCGCTTGCTTCAACCCATATAGTGACCGATTCAATTTGCAAACCAGTATTTTATTTCCCTTAGCATTTGTAGGCGGACACTCCATATACACTTCCTCTTTCAAATCTTCGTGCATGAACGCATTCTTGACATCCAGTTGATGAAGAGACCATGATTTACTAGCAGCCACAGTATAAACACTTTGAACCGTTAACATTTTAGCTACTGGAGCAAAGGTTTCGTCATAATCTATCCCGAATTCCTGCCGAAAGCCCTGAGCTATAACCCGAGCCTTAAATCGTTCAATAGCACCATCAGGCTTCATTTTGAGCGCATAGACCCAGCGACTGCCAATTACAGACATCTCCGGGCGACGAGGAATGAGATCCCATGTATGATTAGTTTCCAATTAATCAAATTCTTCATCCATGGCAGCGTTCGAGTTAGGATCACCCTTCGCCTCTCGATAATGTTTAGGAATAAGAATAGTTTCAGTTGAGTAGCCCACACAATCATAATCCAGCAGCTTACTTGGAAGTTGACCACGTGTGCTTCGTTGGGATCGCCTGGGAGCTGGTAATGGAGGTGGTGATAGTTCCATCTCACCATGCAATGAATGCCCTGTTGTAGACGAGCTGGCTCTGCTGAGATGGGAGGAAGAGGACTCCCCCGGTGAAGACTGTCGAGAGAAGGCAGAAGAAGGGGAAGTGGTCTCGGCAGGTGCTGAAGAAGGGGAATGCGTTGATGAAGCTTCAGAGGATGATAGGTAATTATTCATCCCCGTGGAAGGAGTGCCAGGAGGAATGGTTCCATCGTGATCAGTAGAAGGATCGTCATGTTGATTAATAGCTGCGGGAATGGGGACATGATCAAAGGCTGGTAAGCTCTCAAGAAAATCAAGAGAGTTATCACTAGTTTGCTTTTCCACCGGATAATGCATAACCTGCTCCAAGAAAACTACATGACATGAGATTCTCATGCGCCGGGCAGTCGTATCATAGCAAAGATAACCCTTATGCTTTTCACTGTATCCCACAAATACACATTTAGTTGTTTTCGGGTCGAGTTTGCTCCTCTCTGTCTTGGGAAGTAAGACGAAACAAACATAACCGAAAATGCGCAAGAATGAGTAATCTGGCTGCTTATGATATAAGAGGTAATATGGACAATGATTCCCTATCGTCGAGGAAGGCTGACGATTTATCAAGTAAGTGGTTGTGCTGACTGCCTCGACCCAGAAACTGCGAGGAACATGAGAATGAAAAATCAATGCTCGAGTTAACTCAAGTACGTGTATGTGATTGCGTTCCACCAGACCATTCTGTTGTGAAACACCTGGGCATGACTGTTGAGACATAATACTCCGTGACTTATAAAAATCCATCAATTTGTTTGTGTTGAACTCTCCTCCAGGATCATATCGAATAACCTTCACAGTGGTTTTAAACTGAGTCTGGATCATCTGGAAAAATTCTTGTGCATAAGTGATAAGGTCTTACTTCTGACGCAAAAAATAAATCCAGATATATCGCATAGGATGGTCAATAAACAAGGCAAAGTATTAATAGCCCAAACGAGAACTAGCAGGAGACGGTCCCCATAAATCTTTATGAACTAAATCAAATGGAGACTCATAGATCGTAGTACTCGAAGAGAAAGAGGACCGAGAATCCTTGGCTTCAATACAGCTAACACAAGTAGAAGGATGCATAGAATATGATGAATCCATACGATCTGGTAATAAATTATTCCGAAACATACTGTATAACCAAGCAGTATGAGGATGGCCCAACCGACAATGCCATAAATCCCAAATAGTACCCTTAACAGAAAAATTCAACAGTTTAACAGAACATCCCATGATCCCAGACTAATATGGCCCTTAGTCTTGCAATAATTACAAAAATTGCGCTTAGGACACAAAGGCTGGATATGACCTAGTTTTTGACAATAATGACAGTGAATCTCCCCAGAGGTACCTTGCTGAAACTAAGGATGCGAGGAACCATGCCTGCCAACAGCAAATGCTGTCTCAGAATGATGGCTGGACTGGTCGAGAGTTGTCTGACTCTTCATGTGAGTTTCTTCTCTAACAAGCTCTCCAAACACGGCGTCAATGGTAGCCACGTTGCGATGAAGAAGAGAGGCCCGGACAGCCTCAAATTCCGGACGCAGACGCATGAGAAAGTGCATGAGTCGAGAGCGATTGCGCTCCTTGACCATGTTAGCTGAGATGGCAGTAGGAGTGATGGAAGCCATGAGAAGATCGTGTTCGGTCCAGATGTGGAGAGCCTTCTTATAATATCCACGGACATCAAGATCACCCTGAGCTAGAGAAGCAAGCTGAGTTTCCAGCTCAAACTGACGGGAAGCATCGTACTGGGAATTCATAGAACAAATATGCACCCACATTTCATGAGTGGTCTCTAATTGACGAAGACCCAATGCAGTAGGAACATCCACAAAAGCCAAGAGCCAATGAGTAACTTGGGCATTAGCAGCCGCCCAATCATCTCTATCCTTGTTAGGAGCATCAGCGGAGGGTTTAACACATTTACCATTCAAAATGGGAAGTAAACATTTACCTTCAATAATGGTACGGAACTGAAATTCCCATAGAGAGAAGTTGATTCCGTTGAACTTAATAGGAGCAGCTTCCAGCTTAGACGAATTCATAATTCCAGCGAGAATAAATATAATGAGAAGACCAACAATAGCTATGCACAGAAGAAAACCTGAGATGCACCAAAACAGGACAACAGCGATGCATAGAGGAAAGCTTGAGATGCGCCGAAATAAAAAGGACCACAGCAGCTAGCGACGCACAGGAAATTGAACTAGGGATGCGCCGAAATAAAAAGGGTCCAAGGCAGCCGGCAAGACCGAAGGAAAAGCAGCAGCGCGTACAAGAAAAATCATGGGATGCGGACAATAACAACAACACGCAAAAGAAGACCTAGGACGCGCTTGAGAAACAGCAGTTGCGCGCGAAAAAAAAAACAGAAGCAACTCGCCTAGGAAGAGACAACAGCTTCGTGGGAAAAGACAGTAGCAGCTCGCCTAGGAAGAGACACCGACAAGAGAAAAACCAGAGGAAGAGACCACCAGAGGGTTGCGACTCAACCCTAACAGCCAGATGTGATCGAGTAACCAAAAACACCCCCAAGAATGCGGGAGACCGGATGATGAGCTTCAATCTTGAGGTTCTGATACTATGTCAATAAATCAAGCAGAATCGTAAAGAACACAATAAAATTTTTAACGTGGTATCATCAGTATGACACTAGTACACGGAGAGTATCTCCCTCTCAGGTTTTAGATTTTCTTATTTCGTTAATCTTCCAGTACAGTTTACAACGATATAAATAGGTTGCTAATACAACCCTAATTTTCGAGTGACTATTTACAACTTGGTACCTATAATTATTAACACCATATTGGTCAACACACTCTGATTATTGACCCACTGACCATAGTTGAAGTCTGTCAAAAGATTGCCCTGAAACAATTGGTTTGAACTTGAGAGTGATGAAGGAAAAGTGGTGATGTTTCAGATATTGTATCTTGGCCTGGAATGAGAGGATTTTAGATTATGCATGTTATCATTTTTACCAAGAGCTAAAATTTCGTGCCCAGCAAAGAAATAACTTCAATGGCATAAACAAAAATATGGGCCATGGAAATTCAAAATCTGCTACTTGTGGGGACTAACAATCTTATTTATTAATCTGCAACTAACAATATTATTTTTTAATCCCAACCTAAAGAAGCGCATTGTTGTTAAACAATAAAAAGATCGAATGGGACCAAATGTTTGGTGACTAAAACTGTCGTATGTTTTGTCTGAACACTGAAAACCTTATCCTCAAAAGAAATGTTATTGGATAATTATTTCATAAACCACGTCCCTATTCATAATTTTATGTTGCATCAGCACTTAATAATGCAACAGAAAATCATTGTTTAATATTTAAACGTAAAGATCAGTTACTGTTGCATAATAATTTGTATTTTGATACTCCAAATTTATTAAATCACAACTTAGTCACTATAATGTACATTTTACATTTTGATACCCCAAATTTAATGTTAATGTAAAATCATTGAACAATTATATTTTGGTATCTAAATTATTTGTAAACGTAAAGTTCAATTTGCATTTTGATAACCCAAATTTAATTAAATCACAACTCAGTCACTATAATGTACATTTTACATTTTGATACCCCAAATTTAATGTTAATGTAAAATCATTGAACAATTATATTTTGGTATCTAAATTATTTGTAAACGTAAAGTTCAATTTTCATTTTGATAACCCAAATTTAATTAAATCACAACTTAGTCACTATAATGTACATTTTACATTTTGATACCCAAAATTAATTTTAATGTAAAATCATTGAACAATTATGTTTTGGTATCTAAATTATATGAGATTTTCGTACCTACACATTTTTAAATTTACATTTTGATACCCAAAATTAATGTTAATGCAAAATCATTGAACAATTATAATTTGGTATCTAAATTATATTATATGTAAACGTAAAGTTCAATTTGCATTTTGATACCCCAAATTTAATAAATCACAAATTAGTCACTATAATGTACATTTTACATTTTGATACCCCAAAATTAATTTTAATGTAAAATCATTGAGCAATTATGTTTTGGTATCTAAATTATATGAGATTTTCGTACCTACACGTTTTTAAATTTACATATTGATCCAATGTTTAGATTACACTTGAATCCAATCTACCAATCCTTTTGAATCAATCCACCATAACATATTTTGTTTGTACAATACAAGATGTTGTCCTTTTGAATCAATCCACCATAACATATTTAGTTTGTACAATACAAGAGGTATCACTCAACTGTAGGAGAAGATTCGACTATTTTATACTTGCTCATTACGTGAACATAAAATAAATGATAAAAGAGAGACGACTCTAAAATATTGCAAGAGCGAATTTATAAACTCATTTAGTACATTTATGGGGTACTAAATAAACTTCTACTAACTGCATGTAACAAAATATGCGACATCTATAAGCAAGTATCAATAAATCGCTACCGTGAAAAGGGTTGACTATTGTATTGACGGCCAACTAAAAGAATTGGTCAAAACATTTCCATTATCTACTTCCTTTTAGTTTCATTTTTCACTCGCCTTCCATAACCCTTTCTTTATTTCTTCCTTTGCCTTCTTCGTCTAACCCTAATTAGAATACTATTTTTATGTATTTTAATCACAAGTATGAACGAGTCCATACACGACTCACCAACAGTCTAGAGAATTAATAATTGAACCATGAACCACTAAATTTTCTAGTTCAATGTCGAGTCCAATTAAAAAATAAATATATATGGTTATTACTTATTAGAAAGTCGTCATTTTCCACTATGCGATTTGAGGGTGTGAAATTTTAAGCGAGTTCTTGTTTGTATTCCTTTTGCTTCTCTCTAGAGTTTTTCTTTTTCACCCTGGCTAAAATTTTCAACAATTATGTATACATGGAATGTTGGCTAGGTATCTATACATATCAAATAAATAGTTTTCATTTTTCTAGAAAAAGGTAAATAATTATTATCTTAAATACATCACCATAAAAGGAATTAAGCCTCAAAATTACAGTTCGATACCTAAACTTAATAGATCTTTAGATTTATAACCTAATTTTTTTGGCATGTAAGTCCTCAAAATATTGATGGAACATTATATTTTAGTACCTAAAATTTTTGTGTATTACATTTTGGTACATAAACTTTTGAAGTTCTTAGGTCTAATTTTTGTATGTTTAGTTAAAACACCCTCGAATGAATGGGTATCCATACCCAACTCAACACATTGAGATTATGGATGTAAATATTCATACCTACCCAAACCCATCTACAAACTTTCAAACCCATATATACTTTACTCATGCCCTACCCATAATCAATGGATCTACTTGGGTTTTAGTAAATATCATTTACTAGCCAAAATTTTCAAAAAAAAAATTAAATTGGATGTTGACCACCATATATTTCTTTTCAGTCAATATCATATTGTCACATCAACATTATTGACAAAACTGCTAACAAAAAATTAATTTTAGCATAATAATACTAACAAAAAATAAATTTTAGCCTAATAATACTAATAAACCACCATAACGGGCCACATAATACATGTCCATATGCCATCACTACCCCGCGACAAGGCCGGTATCGCAACCTAGTCATTGTTTAAACCAAGAGGTTGCATTCTTGTTATTAATTCCATCGAATTATCGGTTTGTTTCGACTTTGGACACTAGAATATGAGAGAGGTGAGTTAAAATGAAAGAACTTTGGCGAGTTCTATGGGAATGGATTAGGGTGGCAATTAGAATACTAGTAGCCACCATCACTACATTAGTATATGTCGTTCATTTTTCCTCCTTTTTTAATATTATGGTTAATATTGTTTCAGAGTAATTTTGGAAACAAAAAGGAGTTCACACCTGATTATTCTATATATGCTACTTACCCCTACTTTTACCCTCCCCCTCCCTCCATCCAAACCTGCCACAGAAATCGGCTATGGTGACATTGGGTCGATGGATGTAGCTATAGGGTGGATTAGGAGGCATGACCATTGCACCGATCCCCACATTGGTGATCTTCGCACCACACTCACCATAGTTACTTATATCTAATACTTCATTTTGGAAGATTCAATTAGCTGGCTCACTGACAAAATAAACCCTCAGCAAGCATCAAAAGTAATTCCAAGTCTAGCCGACACTATCTCTATGTAGTGATCTCCCTCTATTTTAGTTTTTTTCTTTCTTAGTAATTTAGAATTGTTTACACTTAAACCATCAACCATCCTGTTTGACTAGATAATAGGTCGAGGTCTAGAGTAGTAATAGATCTTGAGGACCCTAGGAATACGACCTCGGTCACCACTATACTACTTTGTCGATCTAGCTAGGGTGCGCTTGTCCTAGATTGGGGTAGTTATTACCGTCGATGATCGAGTTTGTAAATATAAATCTCGATACCGCAACGCATCACCTAAACTCTAGACTAAACCCCAAACCACGATACTCAAAACCCTAAAATCTACTCTAATCCTTAAAGCTTGAAACCTAAACCCTAAACAGTAAACCTTAATCCAAATTCATTCTAAAATTATGTTCAAAATCATACTAGAAAAGTATATAACATGTTACTAACGATTAGATGAGTAGGTAAGGTGAAACCGGGTTAGGACATGAGTTGGATCAATCAAGTCAGATGCTTGCTTCTTTCTGTCAGCTTTCGGTCTTAGGGAATGCATGGTTGGTATTGGCTCATATAGTCAACACTTTTAACTTTGATTGGCTGGTTTTGCATAAATTTCACTAAATTTTAGGGTTAGGTATCTCTGACTCTTAGAACTAGTGAGTCGTTAATGTAATATAGTGCGTTGATGCATCAGTTAGGTTTCACGATTACCATATGGATAAGATTTTATTTATTAAGTTTTACTAACTCATTGATTGTTTATTTATCTTCATGCTTTTTAGTAATCACCATTATTATGTTTATAATTTCTCCTTCTGGTATCATCAATGTCTCCATCGAGTTATCATCTAACATGCTTGATAAAGCTCTACATAAGTTTCACAGCAAATCATGATAGCAAACTCCTTAATTTTAAAGAATGACTAGAAAAACACCCGCGCTACGCTGCAGATGATGAACGACCTGGTGAAATTTGCATTTGCTGTTTAATTTTGTATTTACATTATCAAATATTAAATTTTCTCTTGACATTCAATCATTATTCATAATTAGAAAAAAGAAAAAAATGGTAATTAGACTATATAAAAAAGATGGTAGCAACGGGTTTCCCATGCCCACGGTTTCCTTAGATAATTAACCCAACCCTAATCAGTCGGAATGTGTCACGGGTTGGTCCATATAGGATCACATTGGACCAAACCGACTCTTGGACCGGATCACACCGAATCGAATATATTGTGATACGATCCTCAGTCTTATAAATTTTATAAATACTGAAGAAAATTAACTGAACGAACTTTTGGATTGGACCAAACCAGACAAAATCGGATGAAATACACTATTGATCACATCTTTGATCCTAAGATGCCTTGCATTAATTTTATGATAAATCTACATATTAAAAGAATACAAAATAAAATGATACAATTAATAGAAACTAAAGAAAGTGAGATTTAAATAAAAAAGTAAGAATTGTCTTTGAAAATTCTCTCTAATGCACCTTTGTTAATTGAGATATCAAATGAAAATTTTTCTTAAAGATTAATATATCGAAATTGGAATTTGATCATAGCATAATAGAACCTGATATCAAGATTAAGATGTATAAATTTGGGCCTTTATAATTGTATAATGGAGCCCAAAACCCTGCAACACCATTTGACTATGAGTGAAAAAAAAGGATTATAAATGTTAGAAGTAGGGATTGAACCCGAGATACAAATAGTACATCATTATCAAGATTCCCCCAATCCCCAGCCTGCCTCTGTCCCGGCCAAAAATCCATTAATAATTTATTATTAAAAAAATTGACCAATCAGCTAAAGAGTTTAGGCAACAGTAACAATACTTCATATTTATATATATTAATATTTGAAATAAGGTCAATGTATGTCCTATTCACATATTCGCTAGTCAACAACCCTTTTAGCACTCTTCAAAATGCCGTCCACTTGGGTGTAATAATGATAAGCGACCAAAAACAACAATGTGAATGTGAAGAGGATGAAATGATCCCAATTGTCTATCTAACCATTAAGTCCACACCCTTTAATCATTCCCACTTTTCCTTCGTCACCTCGTAGTAGAGATATCATCCCATTGCATTTGGAAGCTTCATCCATGGCTAAGACAATAACCAAATTGGATGGCTTTGCTTGTCGTTTTTTCCCCATTGTCATCATCTTCTTCTCCTAGTCCCCCATTTGCCTATCTTTCTTACATCACCATCAAAACACCTTTCCTCATAACAACATAAAGAGTTTAGAAGTTCCAACTATTCAAGGAAATTCTAAAATCAGGAATGGTAAGGGCAAACGAAATTCGAATTAGTTAAACGAAGATAATGGATACTGCCGGTACTAATCCAAGACCCTGTCATCCCTAATCATTCAAACATGTAGGTCACCTACAAATCAATGGAGAGGAAAGAGAATTCATGTTGTGGTTTTGGTTTGAAAGTTGTGGGGGGACAAGGGGAAATTGAAGGGCGGTACCATTGGTAGATCTCTCGTGCAATTTCTGTCACCTCATTCAATTTTGCCATCAATGCATGGCAAGGGAAGGTAAAGGATGGTAGATATGCTCCCATTAAATGCCCTATGAATTCAAGCAAGCAAGCGCCATAGAGTGTTTGATTTTCTGACATTCCAAAGGGCTAACAAGGGACCAAGTCACCTAGCCACAAACAATGAAAAACAAATGATTTAAGTTGTAAATTATACAAGAAAAACTTCCAGAATTTTCACGGCTGAAATATGTTTACCGAAACTCATACTAACGATGATTCATATTATGAATATTCGATAAATATGTTTACACGATTGAAGAGAGATATGTACCTTACCCCCAACTAGTTTGTGGGCATTTGGTGATAGAGTTTATGCTAACTTTGACCACCATGAACTTTCATAGCCTTCTCAAAGCGTCCCGAAACTTAATGATTTCCCCCCAATATCGGTACTTTGGTCAAAGTTAGAATGTAATGAATCGCGCCCTAAGATGTAGAGGATTTAACTGGAACACGCATCTATGATCTAACAACATATTCTATCCAACTCCCATGAACATACAAGCAATGCCCAACTTCGAAGAAAATACGAAATGTAGGTATTCGTTTGAGAAGCAATCATGATTCAGGGGACTAAAACTAAAAAAAAACATCAACATTAATCCTTATACTAATACTCCCCCCTGATAAATGTGTTTCTGCCTATGAAAATGTGTGTTGCTGTGTGCAATTAATTCTTTTCCATTTTCCCGCTACACTTTGCTCAAAAATCAACACACCTCGATTTCGCACATCTCCACTTACTTTCCTCCCTCTTGAATCCATTCAAATTTCTCGATCAACAAATCTGGAGCTGAGCTTGCAAACAATTAACAAATATAGCCAGGCTAAAAATTTCTCTAACTTTTTTTTTTTTCTTTTTTCATTTTTGGTCACTCTCAACGTCTCCCTCTCCTTTGCAACAAATACAATACACAAGTATTTTGCTGTTGGAGCCTCACTGTTATCAACTACTCAATCATTCATGATGTTGTGACCCAACTAATCAGTGGACCTGACCTGACCAAGCTTAGCCAGCCCAGCCAAGAAGAAGGAAATGCCCCCTTCCCTTCCTTTTACCCCACTCTTTTTGGTTCCAGTGGTACACCACCAACCAAAGGTAAAAAGAGAAAAAGGTAAAAATATTAAACCCAATTATCACGGAATGATTATAATTGATTAATCAGACTAAGTATCATTACCTACTCGCATGTTACGTTTAGGTGGAAAAAGTAACGAACCATCATGCTTCCCGATGCAGTGAGCCAGTCCCATGGGCACACAGTAAAGAGTGTGTAATAAGACCACCATCTGGAGCTCTGAGACTGAGAGACCAATTTTGAGTCGGAGCACTGAGAAAACAAGGAGTCAAAAGGTGCCAAACAAATCATAAGGAAGAACTAATCCAAAAGAATTCCCCCATAATTTGCGCCCAAAAGCAGAATCAAAACGTACTGTATTGCAATTAGGAAATGGGCAATTGGCAGCCAACCCATCTCGTTTCCTTTTATGCACTCACAAGGAAAGGAAAAACAACAGAAACTTTGCACAAAACAGAGAGCGTATTAAAAGCCTTCCCTTCCCTTTCCTTTCCCTTATTAGTTATTCCATACCCACAGAGAGAGAGCTGAGTTTGAGATTCTCTTCTGGATTCAGAGAAGGAGAGAAGAGAGAGCAAAAGGGAAACAAATTTTCGCAAGAGTGGAATGGAAATGATGGCAATTTACCTCCCTTTTTGAATGCCGATCGATCTAGAGAGAGAAAGCGAGATAACCAGCTTTCAGTTTCAGCCTTCCTTCCACTCTTGTCCTCATTTGAGCTGGCCTTCTCACTAATTATTAGCTTGGATTCTCTCCTCCAAAAAGCCTCTTCCTTCCTTCCTTCCTTCCTTACTCCCCCTTTTCTTTTTCACTTCTTCATCCCTCTCTTTCTTCCTTGTATGCATCTGGTAGCTTACTAGTTACTAGTTCCACCACTACCCAGAATCCAGAAGCAAGCTTCTCTGGTCCAACAATGGCTGACAAAGAAAAACCCACCACCTCCAAGGGCCAAGCATGGTACTATAACTTGAAAAACTCAACTACCGATTCTTCTTCCTCTTCTTTATCCCTCAAACTGATTTTATGGTCTCTCTTTCTTCCTCCTCTTTCTGTTTGCAGGTTCTGCACCAGTGGGCTGCCCAGCGACATTGCAGTCGAGGTTGATGATATGAGCTTTCATCTCCACAAGGTCTGTTTCCTTCCCTCTATCTCTCTCAATCCCTTAAAACCCTGCAAAAAAAAAAAAAAATAGACTGACTGAGGATTTCTTTTGTCTGTTGTGCACAGTTCCCTTTGATGTCGAAAAGTCGAAAGCTGCATCAGCTGATAACAGAGCAAGAGACAAACCCTACCTCTGCCTCTGCCGCTGCCGCCGCTACCCTCCAAACCTCCTCCACGGACGAGGACGGCGCCGGAGAAGGAGACGAAATCGAGGAAGTCGAATGCCAGATTTCGCTCCCGGATTTCCCGGGCGGCACCGAGACCTTCGAAATGGCCGCCAAGTTCTGCTACGGGGTCAAGGTCGACCTCTCTGCCTCCACCGTCGCGCCGCTCCGCTGCGCCGCCGAGGTCCTGGAGATGACGGAGGACTACTCCGAGGCCAATTTGATAGCCAAGACGGAGAAATTCCTCTCCCAGAACGTCCTCAAGAGCCTCAAGGAATCGATTAAAGCCCTCAAGTCTTGCGAGCGGGTGATGCCGCTCGCCGAAACCCTAGGCATCCCGCAGCGCTGCATTGAATCCTTGGCCTCCAGAGCTTCCACCGCCGATCCCGCCCTGTTCGGCTGGCCGGTCGTCGCCACCGACGGCGGTGACAGTAGCAAGAGAGATTCCTCTAATCAAGCCTTGTGGAACGGAATCGAATCCGCTGTCCGCCGCAAAGGCCGATCCTCTTCCTCCGCGGCGGCCGCCGGTTATAACATGGACTCGTGGCTGGAAGATCTCTCGCATCTCACTTTGCCGTTGTTCAATCGGTTGATTTCGGCGATGAAGGAGCGAGATCTGAGCCCGGAGATCATCGAGAGCTGTCTAATTCACTACGCCAGAAAGCACATTCCGGGGATCACGAGGCAGAGCAGGAAACATCCGCCAGCCGCGGCGGCGACTACAACGATCGCCTCAGAAGGCGAGCAGAGAGAAGCGCTGGAAACAATCGCTTCCAATCTACCTCTTCAAAAAAACTCCAGATCCTCGACGGCTACTCGATTCCTAATCGGCTTGCTGCGAACCGCCAACATCTTGAACGCGTCGCAGTCGTGCCGCTCCGCCCTGGAGAAGAAGATCGGCTCGCAGCTCGAGCAGGCCACGCTCGACGATCTCCTGATCCCAAGCTATTCGTACCTCAACGAGACTCTCTACGACGTCGACTGCGTCGAGAGGATCTTATCCTACTTTCTGGACGGAATCGAAGAGGAAGGAGATGGTATAATAACCGCCGACGACGACGATCTTGCACACAGCTCCAGAGCGCCGACGTTGATGCTTGTCGGGAAGCTCATCGACGGTTACCTCGCAGAGATCGCCTCCGATTCCAATCTAAAGCCCGACCGATTCTACAAGCTCGCCGTCTCGCTGCCGGACCAGGCCAGACTCTTCGACGACGGCCTCTACAGAGCCGTCGACGTTTATCTCAAGGTAAATTAAAATTTAAAACCGAATTCGCGTGAAACTGAAAATTTCTTTCAATCCTCTGAAAAAAATCGACGATGAATTGCAGTCGCATCCATGGATATCGGAGACGGAGAGGGAGAAGATCTGCGGGGTGATGGACTGCCAGAAGCTGACCCTGGAGGCGTGCACGCACGCGGCGCAGAACGAGCGGCTGCCGCTCCGCGCGGTGGTTCAGGTCCTGTTCTTTGAGCAGCTGCAGCTCCGGCACGCGATCGCGGGGACGCTGATGGCGGCGGGCGGGGAGCCGGGGAGGCCGTCGGTACAGCGGCGGGATGAGGTGGAAGAGGAGGAGGAGGAAGGCGAAATGGGAGCGGCGTTGGGAAACGGAAGGAGGGAGGAGAAGGGTAGGAACACGTGGAGGGAAGCGGCGAGGGAGAATCAGGTGCTGCGGCTGGACATGGATAGCATGAGGACGCGGGTGCATCAGCTGGAGAGGGAATGCTCGAGCATGAAGAAGGTGATCGAGAAGATCGGCAAGGATGATGATTCTGTGGAAGGGGAGAAGAATGGACGGTCAGGATGGAGAGGAGGGTCGTCGTTGACCAAGAAGTTCGGGTGCAAGTTCAAGACGCAGGTGTGTGATTCTCACGAGCAAGCGGTCGCGGGAAGGACGACGAGGAGAGGGAGGCAGCAACACCATCACCAAGAGTAGACCCTGCCGCAGAGGATTGAAGAACGGGGTTTTCCGTTTTTTCGTTTCCACGGCCATTTCCGTTCCGGTCTTCGTCGTTTCGGGGTCTGTGAGTTGACCAGAAACGCCGTTTGTTTAGGGTTGTTTTTCTTTTTTTGTGTGTGTGTATTTTTTTGAGGAGGTTTGGGTGGATGGATGAATTGTTTTGTAAGATAGTGCCACGTCGACATGCCACTTCTGCTGCCCAGAGAAAAAGCTGAGAAAAAGGAAAATAAATTTGTTTATTGATTTTTTATTATTATTTACTTTTATCCTGCTATTAAAAAAGGAAAAGCCGAAGATTCGGTAAAATGGACAAACAACACACGCCTTTTGGAGGAGTGGGGAAATGAGCAAAGAATTAGAATTAGAAAACCTACATATAACAGGTCTCAAGTTGTCAAAAAAGTGTTTCTTTCTCGGATAAACTAAACTAATCTTCGAGTTTTTTCATTCAGTTTATACATAACGCAAGGATGGTGTATGTGAATTTAGAGAGAATAGGGTTTAGAGACGGATACCATATGAAGAGGAGATATGGTTTGGCGGACTCGAGACTTCTTATATAAGAGTATGGACTTTTTTTAGAGTTGGTTTAGACACACGGAGAAATGTCTTACGGTGATTCGGATCTATTGCTAACGCAGTTGTTTGTCCCGCATTAGGCAAATTTATATCATATTCCAACCGTTTTCAATATAACTAAACACTTGCCGGTTGCCATTATTTGTAAAATTTCGTGCGTGACCAAAATCAACAAGATTTGGAGTTTTAGTGTGCTCACACCATCAAATCCTATCCTGAAACATTTTCCTGGGCATCTCAAGTACCTCGATCCAGAAATTAGAATCTTGATATCGTACTGTAGAAATGATATCATTATCAAACAACTACACTTTTTTTTTTAGACAGAATTAATCCAGAGATAAAAAGGCAAGGAACGAGACAAAATACAAGTGACAAACTGTAGAGTTCGCTTTGTTCAGCGCCAGGAAAGTTAGTGCACAGCACATCCCATTTGGTGCAGTTTAGGGTTCCATGTCGTTCGGACTCTTGCTGTTTGGATTTGGATTTGCGCTGAAAATTTTATTTGGGGCCCTAACGCTGGTGAAGGTGGGATTGCGTTGCAAGCTGATCCAAATGCTCTCTTCCTCTCTTGTGTGTGTTTAAGAGGATAAAGAAGGAAAGCGTAGGAGGGGTTTTGGGGGCAGCGTCACGTGGCAACTAGGGTTACTGAGTTTTTGTCGTCTCCATTTGTTCCCATATTTGGTTCGGACCTTCAGAGAGAGAGAGATTATTCAGAAAGAAATGGTTGTTTTTTTGGAAGGTAATGTGCCATTTTCGTGGCGGCTGATTGGCTTCATCTGCTGGGGATCTGCTAATAAGTGAGTTGTGACACTTACGTATCGACCAGGAGAGTAGCTGATGGGAAATGGCCAATGGGTGTTTTGTTTTGTTTCTCTTCTTTGCCAAATTTACTTCAATAATAATAATAATATTGTGTCTCAAGTTGTTAGGCAAGAGTTGCAAACTAGAATTAGTTTAGGGAGTTAAATGCAAATATTTGTTGAGTAGTTTGGACTCGTAGACAATTTGCTTTCTCCACTCGGTGGAGGACTTTGAAGTCTTTGCGAGCGACTTTCACTCACAAAACTCAAGTCAAGACTCAAGACCATATGAGTACGTAGTGGAGCTCTATCCAACTTTTCTTTTCCCGTCTATCAAAGTAATAAAACCCAATACGTTGCTTACTTATAGAAAGCGCTCCATTCCAGTTTCCAGTATCCATCCAGTATCTTACTAAGACACCTTCCCCCAAACTCAAGACCATATGATCTTATTATTATTCATGATGATGTTGCTGATCTGGGGTAACCCTTGTGGTTGCTGCCCTGACGACCAGAAAGCTGCTCTCCTGGAGTTCAAGTCTCTAATATTCCATGGAAACTCCTCCTTCCGCGGCGCCGAAAACGGATTATCCAACTGGAACGCCAGTGTCAGTTGTTGTGAGTGGTCAGGGGTTTATTGCCATTTCCATCGTCATCAATTCATCATCAAAGAGCTTCAACTTCGAGGGTCCGAGTCGCAGCTGGTGGAAACAGGGGTGAGTGCAGATGTACTTACCCCGCTCTTTCGCCTGACATCATTACAGTTGCTCGACCTATCTGGCAATTACATACGAGGTAAAATCCCACCTGGAATCGGAAACCTGACAGGGCTTCAGGGACTTTATCTGTCCCACAATTACTTCACTGGTCTGATTCCTCCCGGGCTGTTTAGTGCTCTGCCTCATTTGCAAGAACTTCGGTGTGACTGGAATTCACTAGAAGGAAATATCCCCATAGAGATTGGCAACTTGACCAATCTCGAGTTACTTTCTATGGATGGTAGCAAGCTCTCTGGAGAAATCCCGGCGACTTTGCTACAGATAAACAAGTTGAAATACCTGTCGTTGCAAGGCAACCTTCTATCGGGGGAGATCCCAAGTGTTCAAAACATGACCCAATTGGTTGTCCTGGAGTTGGAAAACAACTTTCTGTCCGGCGAGATACCGGCTTGGTTGTTCGAATCTTCCACGATGGAATCGCTGTTTTTGGGAAGAAACAATCTTACCTTGACAAATGCAAACCAAATGGCCCCTAAATCTGCATTCTATCAACTGTCCTTGATATCCTGCAACATTTCTTCTGATGGAATCCCTATCTGGTTGGCGAACCAAACTGATCTCGCAGTTCTCGACTTGAGCAGCAACCGGATCACAGGAAACTTCCCCAGGTGGTTGGCTGAACAGCCGATAAATGAATTGGTTTTGGCGGATAACTTGCTTCAAGGTACTCTGCCTCCTGAATTGGCGTCCAATGGAGGTATACAAACTCTCGACTTATCAGAGAACAATTTCGAGGGAGAAATATTTCTAAACAGAGGAACTAACGAGACCAATCAAAGTGGGTACTCCATGTTGATTCTTTCAGATAACATATTTACAGGATCGCTTGGAACTCACATCTCGAATATGAGTTACTTGTTTTATCTGGACTTGTCAAGAAACCAACTTTCAGGTGAGGCTTTTGTCTTTCTTTGTCAGCGTTCTTACAGTTGTCCAGAGTATATTAATCTTTCCTTCAATACCTTTCATGGAAATATATCCATATCTTCTGGCAAAGCGTACTCACTGAAAGTCCTTGAGGTCGCTCACAACCGTTTCTCTAATATTTATTTGCCACAATATTTAGAGGAGCTCCAACTTCTTGATCTTCGTGAGAATAGAATATCGGGTGAAATTCCAGCTTGTTTGGCTCAAATCTCATCTTTACAAATTTTGAGTGTGGGAAACAACTTTCTTCGCGGGCCGATTCCATCGAATCTTTCTAATCTCAGAAGCCTTCAAATTTTGGACCTCTCCGACAACAAATTAAGGGGCAGGGTGCCGAACCATTTAGGAAATTTGAGGGGTATGATCCATGCTCCGCCTGACTCACCAATTTTGGGTTTCGCTCAGATTAATAACCCAATCGATTCCGCCTGGGTCTCGGGGCCATCAATTCCAACTCCATGGTTTGAAGTCTTCTGGAAGACTCATAATGAGGGGCTTCCCAACAATCACTTGGGATTATACACTCTTCTTGATCTATCCAACAATCAATTGTCAGGTGAAATCCCAAATAGTTTGGGAAAATTGAGAAGTCTCAAAGTGCTCAATCTGTCCCACAACAGCCTAACCGGTCCAATCCCAGCTAGTTTCGGAAACATTAAGGAATTGGAGAGCTTGGATTTATCTCACAACAACTTATCTGGAGACATTCCGGAATCTATGGGAACATTGCTGCAAATCACTAATCTGCAATTAAGCGACAACAATCTCTCAGGGCAGATCCCGACCGGTTCCCAAATGGACAGGATGAACAATCCATATTCTTATGCTAACAATGACGCTAGATTGTGCGGGATGCAGATTCTCAAACCGTGCAATGATGTGGCTATAACTCCGACACAGGAGGCAGCTCCTAGAGGAGGACCAGAGCGCGATGAAGGGTTATGGTTTTCGTGGATGACAGCGAGCATTGGATTTCCTGCTGGATTTGTCACGACAGTGCTTGGGATGTACGGCTTCGGTTACTTCCACCACGATCCAAAGTTGCGACGACGACGAAGGATGATGAAGCGTCGTGCCATCGGGTTCTGAATTCTGATGAGTTGAAATGTGCTCTGCTGTGATCCGAATAAATTGGTTAATTCAACTTGTAGTACTTTGTTCTTCATAAATAAATAAATTGTAGTACTTTGTCCCTACAATGTACTAGAATTACTAATGATGAAATCTTAGGGGTGGTTTGGAGGTTCGAATTGTTCTCCTAATTGATGTATCTAATCAATTCGTGTATTGTGATTTGATGCATTGATTGAATGTATGAATTTAGAAATAACTTTTTGGATGTTTAGATTTTGTTTATGTTATACCTAAAAAGCAGTACATTTTTCATAATCAATGACATATTTACCTTTCATTTATTAATGAGAGATGAGTTGTAGATGAGGGCAGTGGCGGAGTCAGAAAATTGGCTAAGGGGATGTCTTTTTCACATAATGAAAAAAGTCAACTACATAATAAAAAAGTCAAATATGAAAGAAATAAAATGTCAATAACATAATATCCAAGATTCGTACACTTACATAATAATAGTTCTATGCACATCGCCTATAAGGAACCGCAATGAGATTTCATATTCTGAAAGTATTGGAGAATACATTTCTTGTCCAAACTAACACACAAATCTTGTTCAATCCATGTCACCAATGAATTGTTCAATCACTAATCGTTCATTTGATTCCGAATATCATTCTTGATATATTTCATGGAAGAAAATTATCTCTCCACACTTGTTGTTGCCATAGGCAAAATAAGTGTCAACTTGATAAGCAAATAAAGAGATTATACAATTTGTGGTTATTTGTTTCCATCATTTTTTGTTTGCTAACTCACCCCTTGTAAGTCATTGAACCTGTCATCGAATGGTAGATTACTTATATATGAATTCAGTTGATAACCAATAAACTTCATAAGATTTTGAGGGAACTGGTAGGGGTAGAAAGTAATCAACTCAATCAGACGAAAACAACAAATTAATTCTATGGATTTAAGCAATTCATATATAACAAAAACTGACAATTGACCTCATCAAAACTGTAATTAATTGTGGTTTAATTGATTAAAGTAGAAAAAGAATGAGTCTTTAACATAACAAAGGGTATTTAAATACTACTTGTGCTAAATGAGTCCTTATAGCACAATCCAAACTTAAAATGAACAAAATAAAACAAATAATAATGTCCATGTAATGCATGCTTCCAGCTAACTGTCGTTAACGGCAAGGACTCCTTTCTCGAACAATGCTGCTTCCTCCAACTGGGCTTCAAGCTGCCCTGCATCAGTCTCTCCCACCTGTAAAGAACTCGACCCCGAGTTAGTAGCAGTCGGATAAAGCGATTCGTCTGCATGGTACACATGGATGTCCGCCACGTTAAAGGTGGAGGAGATGTTCATATCAACCGACAAATCAATAACATAAGCATTGTTGTTTATTTTCTTCAACACCTTAAATGGCCCATACTTACGAGTTACGAGGGTGCAGTTTAGAGTAAGTTCCAACGGGAAACCTCTCCTTCCGTAAGAAGACCATCACCTCATCCCCTTCAGCGAAAACCTTAGCACGATGGTGGGCGTCTACGGCAGCCTTGTTATTAGCGCTGGTGGCGATAAGTCTAGCACGAACCACTTCCTTGACAGCTTGCATATCATTTCCCATGTTAGTAGAGGCCCGACTCACACCAGAAGCCTTCGAAAGCTCCACCAAATCAACCACATGTCAAGGTGGGGAAGTATAAACAAGAGAAAAGGGAGACCGACCACTGAAGGAATGTACCGCGCCGTTGTAGGAGAATTCAAACTGCGGTAAGAAGAGATCCCATTGGCGTGGCTTATCCACGCAAACGCTCTGAATCATGTTGCCCAATGTCCTGTTTGTGACCTCTGTCTGTCCATCCGTTTGGGGGTGGGCCGTAGAGCTCCTGTTCAACGCAGTACCTAACAAGCGCCAAAGAGTAAGCCAGAAATGACTGAGGAACTTAGTGTCACGATCAGAAGTGATGGATTTAGGAACCCATGTAAGCGAACAACCTCCTTAAAGAATAGTTTGGCGATGTTGGAGGCATCAACGGTCTTCTTGCAGGCAATGAAGTGGGACATTTTGGAGAATCGGTCAACCACCAAAAAAACTGAATCCACACCGCGCTGATTACGAGGTAACCCCAAGACATAATCTATCGAAAGGTCGAGCCAAATATCAGTTGGGACGGGAAAAAGGCGTATAAAGACCAGTGTTCTGAGATTGACCTTTGGATACATGACACACATTGCAACGACGTACTATTGCACCTGCGTCACGACGAAGATGGGGCCAATAAAAACATTCTTCCAAGCTGGCTATCGTCTTATCACGACCCAAATGCCCGGCAAGACCTCCGGTATGTAGCTCCCGAATAAGGGAAAAAATCCCACTGTACACATGTTTTTAAAAAAAATTCTCAAAATACACATGTTATGAAAAAAATTCCCAATCTACGCATGTTTGGGCCTTCACCGCGTCAGACTAAGGCGGTGATTGCTTCACCGCGTTAAAGAAGAGCGGTGATTGCATCACCGCGTTAGAAAAAAACGGTGATTGCATCACCGCTGTAGACAAAAACGGTGATAGCTTCACCGCATTCAACGGTCGCGGTGAAGGCCTGACCTGCGTCGAATCTTTAAAAAAACGTAACTTTGTGCTCGGTTTTTCGAAAAATTATGCATAATCAAAAAAAATTTCACCACGATCCAAAGTTACGTTTTTTTAAAGATTCGACGCAGGTCAGGCCTTCACCGTTTTTCTCTAACGCGGTGATGCAATCACCGCCTTCCTCTACAGCGGTGATGCAATCACCGTTTTCGTCTAACGCGGTGATGCAATCACCGCTCTTCTTTAACGCGGTGATTCAATCACCGCCTTGGTCAGACGCGGTGAAGGCCCAAACATGCGTAGATTGGGAATTTTTTTCTTAACGTGTGTATTTTGAGAATTTTTTTTAAAAACATGTGTACAGTGGGAAATGACCCCCGAATAAGCTGCTCACGCAACGAGGAGACAGGAATGCAAAGTCTATCCCCTTTGAATAAATACCCATCACGTACATGATAGTCACCACTAGGATGAGTGTGCATGCATTTAAACCACACGGTCGCTTCTCCTAGGAAAGAACAACACCGACACCAACCCCACTGGCATCACACTCCACGTGGAATGTTTTGTCAAAGTCAGGTAAGGCGAGTACAGGGGCGGTACACAGCTTCTCCTTGATTAGCGAAAAACTGTCTCCTGTGCGGCGCCCCACTGGAAATTTCCTTTCTTCAGACACTCAGTAATAAGAGCAGTGATTGTGCTGAAGTCGCGCACAAATCGTCGATAGAAAGTAGTTGTGCCATGAAAACTTCAAACGTCCGCCACTGCCGTAGGTGTTGGCCAATCACGAATGGCACATACCTTTTCTTCGTCGACTTGAATCCCATCTTCCCCAATGACGAAACCCAAACATAAGAGCTTGTAAGTATAGAAAATACATTTCTTTAAGTTGACAAACAACGTATTCTCCTGCAACACGCGTAGCACTTTCCTCAATGGTCTTCTGGTGTTTTGCTGTAAATTAAGATGTCATCAAAGTAAACGACCACAAAAGAACCGATGAAAGGGCAAAGAACCTGATTCATCAATCTCATGAAAGTGTTGGGCGCATTGGATAAATCGAAAGGCATGACCAACCACTCGTAAAGGCCATCCTTGCTTTAGAATGCAGTCTTCCACTCATCTCCAGGCCGTATTATGATTTGACGGTACCCGCTGCGTACATCAATTTTTGAAAACACCTTCGACCCGGACAATTCATCAAGCATGTCTTCCAGACGGGGAATGGGGAACATGCATTTGATTGTGATCTTGTTGATGGTGCGGTTGTCGACACACATGCGCCACTGATTACCTTTCATAGGCACCAAAAGTACTGGAACCGCACATGGGCTCATACTTTCGCGAATAAAACCCTTCCTCAGGAGGTCCTTGATTTGCTCCCTTAAGATTTTGTTCTCTTTTGGGCTCATGCGGTAGTGAGGAAGGTTGGGCAAGCTGGAACCCAGAATGAGGTCAATGTTATGTTGTATATCACACATTGGCGGTAAAGAGTTGGGAAGGTCATCAGATGTTATATCTTCGAAATCCGGTAGAACCTCCTCGACCTCAGATGGTGGAGTTGGTGCATCTGGAACGGTGATTAAAAGGCCCTTGATCACCACGGGGCAGATCCACTCAACGCCCTTGCAAGCTTCCCGCAATTCCTGTTCATCTTGCACCATAGTGAGGAAGGTGGACTTCGACTTTTCTGGTTTCTTGTCAACCCCGAAAACCGGGGCCATGGCAATTTTGTGTGTTCCCCATGACAATATCATCACATTATCCCTTCCTCTGTACGTGATGTCATTATCATACTGCCATGGCCGACCGAGAAGAAGATGAAACACGTCCATATTGAGGATGTCACATATGAACTCTTCTCTATAATATTTCCCACTGGAAACGGGTACTTTGCACATTCTTGTAACTTTAACTTGTGGGCCTTTTCTTACCCATCCTAACGCGTACGGTTTGGGGTGTGGTTCAGTTGGTAACTCCAAGTACGTTACCAATTTCTGCGAGACCAGATTCTCGGTACTTCCATTGTCAACGATGAGGTTACACAACTTGTTGTTGATGGAACAATGCATTCGGAAAATATTATTTCGTTGTCCTTCATCTGTAGTTGATAGAAGTATCCTTTGCAGCACGATATTCACCACCTCCGATGAATCTTCCTCTGCAAACTCAACTCCTTCATACTCGTCATCCGCCTCCTCCTCCTCCAAATCTTCATTCACAACTGTCACAGTCTTCCTGGACGGGAAAAAGTTGGAGCGATGACCCTGACCGCCGCAACAAAAACATTTATCTCCCATGGGTTTCACGTACGGGTTAGGCGCCTTTGGAGTTGGTCCCTTGTTTTCATTGGAGCTGGTAGCTCCACCATTATTTTTGGTCATCGGGTTGGACTCTCTCGTGCTCACTAGCTTCTCTTTGTCACTTACAACTTCAGAATTAACCCGTAGAGGGAACCTGCGAAAAGAGGAGTAGGACTTAGGGGACTTATCCATTAACTCAGCCTTTAGTGCTAATGTGGAGGCTTCCGTTACGGTCCAAACAGTTTGCAAACCCATCTTTTCCTGGATCGAGCTCTTCATACCATTGATATAGTGAGCGACCTTTTGGCCTTTCGTCTCTCCCAGTTCATTCCGTTCCGCTTAACGCAAGAACTCAGTTGTGTATTTAGTAACACTCCTCCTTCTTTGTACGCAGTCAAGGTACATCTTGTACAGGATTTTCTTATAGTCATCGGGTAAAAACCGTTCCATCGTCAATTGCTTCATCCGCCTCCACGTTCGAATTGATGCCTTCCTTTAGTGTTGTCGTTGAATGACTAATTTATCCCACCACACGGCGGCGATGCTCTTCAGTCGGATAGCCACCATCTTAACCTGTTTATTCTCAGGTACTCCCATCATGTCGAAGAACCTATAGACGTTGATTTGCCAGTCCAAGAACTCCTCAATTCCCATAGTCCATAGAACAATGGGATGTCGGCCTTCACCCGATAGTCGTCGCGGTGATGTTGATTTTTGTCATCCGTGTTCTCATCTGCGATGTCCTCCTTTGAGCTAGAGTCGGAATCAACGCGCGCTGCCTCGCCACCGTGTTCCCTTCTCAGCGGCTCGTCTCGCATACGCTCATCTCTCCGACCTCTTCCTCTGCTTTCCTGGGCGGCGTTGGCTCTTTCCAGCTTGTTGTTGACTCGCTCAGCCAACGTGTTGACTTGTGTCGTTAGGGTGTTGAGGGCTGCGGTAAAAGCCATAGTAATACCCTCTATGTCTACACCTGTGACTGGTTGATCTCCCATGGCTTATCAAGCTACAAAAAGAGGCAGGAGAAAGCCTGGCTCTGATACCACCTAACGCAGTCGGAAACCAAATGGACTCGCTAGCGTCGAATCCACAAGAATAATAACAAGCCTGCCAGCTGCAAGCTTCACGAATAACACCTCTGGAATCCACTAGAGAACACAAACCCTTAGGTTTAATTGATTAAAGCAGAAAAAGAATGAGTTTTTAACATAACAAAGGGTGTTTAAATACTACTTGCGCTAACCGTGTCCTTATAGGACAATCCAAACTTAAAAGGAACAAAATAAAACAAATAATAATGTCCACGTAATGCATGCTTCCAGCTAACCGTCGTTAATGGCAAATACTCCTTTCTCGAACAATGTTGCTTTTTCCAACTGGGCTTCAAGTTGTCCTGCATCAAGAAGTGAGGAAGACTTCGCCATCAAGTTTTGGTCTCTGTGGTGCCTAGTTAGCATTGAGTTGTGCCTCAAAATGATGTCATGATGTCTTTTTCTACCTTTTGATATGCTACTAGGATGTACGTTCTCGATTTCTCTATATTCAGACTACGATATAGTTAGAGACGGACATATAAAAAGTAGATTTTTGCGCTTCTTCGTCTCAATATGCATGGCTATTTTCCAACTTCTTCTTCCTTACTCATTTCTCCAAACCATGTTTTATGTTTTACCATGTGTTGTTGATGAAAGTTTAGAAATGAGAAGTAGATGCGATGATATTTGGTTCATAAACTAGTGATTATAGGCAAGTGGGAGATATTATACTACGTTTACGTCTAACGCTTAAGCACGCCTAGGCAATGCCTAAGCATGCTAGGCGCAAGCAGAGCCTCAACGCTCGCTTTACGCCTAGCACTTTCTTGAACCTTGTTAAATACATCACTTGAAATTTCAACTATTCCATATAATGGAATTCAGCCACATTATCTGTATCCTCCTCTGTAAGCTAAGGAGAACCAACCGCTAAAATTTCGTGCAATGAGAGAGCTTAAGTTCAATATCATACAACTACAGTTTCTTGTAGCGTCACGTGGCAACTAGGGTTACTCAGAGTTTTGTCTTCTCCATTTGTTGCCACATTTGGTTCCGAGTTCTTAGGCTCTATATATGGTCTGTACCAACCATTGGTTACTCACCCATGAGTAGGGGTGGGCAAACGGGTACGGTTCGGTAAACCCGAACCGAACCAAAACTGAATTAAACCGAACATTAACCGCATTAATGCTATTCGGTTCGGAATTCGGAAGGAGAATATGGATAGTTTGGAAATCAGGGTTCTTTCAACCGAACCGAATTTCCGACAGAAAAACCGAAATACTATAATTTAAAGCTCCAAATAGTGGATTTGTGTTTGTAGTTGTTTTTAGACTTAAATATTTGAAATGTTTTATGACTTATGTGTTGAAAAGTTTGATTTTATTATTGATGATGCATATAATTGATATTTATTGTTTATATTAGGGGTTAAAAATAATTTAAAAGTGAGAAAATATAAGTAGCTTCACAAATTCGGTTTTGTGTGAAAAAAAACTGAACCGAATTATAATTCGGTTTAAACCGACCGAACCGAATTATAATTCGGTTCGAATTCAGTTTGAGGTTTGGCAGAATTCGGGGACCCGGTATTCGTAATTTATGTCTATGGGTTGTGAATTAAAAATATTTTAGTTTTACTAATTTTCTTAATCGGTTCTTAGCTTTTTGGATTTAAGTGGGTTCAAAAAATTCATATCTATGGGGTGGTGAGTTAAAGACATTTTCTTTTCACTAATTTTCTTAATCGGATCTTATTTTTTTCGTTCCAACTCGGATTTCAAATTTTTTTTATTTTGCACAGATGAACGAGTTCGTTGTGCCCTACAAAGATATCAATTTTCAATATTGTTAGGAATTTTTTCCCCTGCCACTCATTACCAACTCCATACCAAATGGTATCTCGGTCGTTTTTAAGTCGTTTTTGAAAATATTTGCACAGAAGGAACGAGTTTATCATAATCTATTGGATCTACAAATTTATGGGTGAAAAAAATACAGGTCAAAAAAATATCATACTATACCACCCTAGTAGGGGGTGGTAACTTGTGATATACAATGATGAAGTCGTAAACGACAATTAGTATACTCCAACTATCATGTATCCAACCATCTTACAATCTTGGTATGTTAATACCACTATGTTACGTTTTCATATCATATTGTATGTTCTATTTAATACCAGTCAATCTCATATGGTATAGACTCGTAAAAAATATCTCAATTTTTTTTGTTCTAAAAATATGTCAAAGTTGATATTATTTTGAAGAGCACAACTAATATGATTTATCTATGAAAAATATAACTTCCTAATTAAAACGATAGAGACATTTTTTTGTTAATGATTAAAGGATTTTTATAAAAGAGAGGTTAATGCACACTGATTTGGACAAATTATCCCCCCCCCCCCCCCTAACTCCTAAGGGACTTGATTTGGACCCAACTTCTGAGAGTCAGAAAGAAATGGTTGTTTTTTGGAAGTTAATGTGTCATTTTCATGGTGGCCAATTGGCTCATCTGCTGGGGATCTGAGAGTGCGTTGTCACACTTACCTAGAGAGTAGGTGACGGGACATGGACGTTTGTTTCTTTCTTCTTTGCCGAAGTTACTTCAATAATATTGTGCTCAAGTTGTTGGACAAGAGTTGCAAACTATGACTAGTTTAGGAACTTAAATATAATTATTAGTTTGTTTAGTAGTTTGGACTTGTGTGATTAGTATAATAATCGCAATAACTAAAAAAAGTGTAAATTTATCTTCAAACATTGTATCAGAAAATATTTTTCTCCTTTTCGTATTCTTCCCGTAAGTTTCTTTTGTAGTTTTTCTTCTCCCTTCTCTCAATCGAGACATGACGATGATTCCTTTCCAACTTTCCAATCACGCTACTTCCATTTTTGCTGTCAATCACTCCATACTAATTTGACGAGAACGACTCGACAACAAATTAGTTAGTGCTCATCGTCTCGACGGGATCAAGTTGTCATTCCGGATCCTACTTGATGCGATTCAAGGGTATTTTCAAAGAACAAATTGTTCTTCATCGACTCTACTGTCGCGATGCCTTTCGCCTGATGACGATGGTGATCTCTTCGCCGCATGGGAGCAGTGCAACGTGATGCTCCTTGGCTAGATCTTTTGTTTGATTTCTCTTGGAGTGTGCTTGGAGTGTGCTTTGGCTAAACACAGTGACTGAGGTTTGGAATGATCTGCAAGAGCGAGGTATTTATCATGTACCACGCGTATAGACTTTTTTTTGCCATTAGATCTTCTCTGAAAAAGAGGAACAAAGATCTATAGTGAACAATGAAATTTGTCAACAATGCAAACAAAAAACAAAGTCAAACCCCAAAAGAATTCAGAGTGACAAGTTCATAGCCAAAACGACCACCAAATGAGCCACTCTAAAACCATTACACCCAACGAAACCAAAAGGACTCCTTCCCTATCACCAAGCCAAGACGCTAAACAATTGCCGCCGTCTATGTCCAAAACAAATAAAACCACCATCTCGTCCTCCATGGACGTAGCCACATCAAAGAAACCCTGCATAGGAGTGGAAGACGTTGCATCCCCCTCAAGCTGAAACCCTGCAACCAACTCTTCCTTCTCGTCCATTCTACAAAGCCTCTTGATTGATAATTCGAGAGGGGTATATCTGAAAACTAGACAAACTCACCATAACACATGACAGCATAGGGGTAAAAACCACGTACGATTCTGAAGCATAAACAAAAGAACTAAACAATCTCCAACACAACATATTGAACACAGAGACATCAACCACTGCCAAGCAGTGAAAGAAGAACACAACACGAAATGAACAAACAATAGCCACAAAAACTACTACAATATAGAGACCCACAAACGAGAAAAAAGAATGATTAAGTCGATAACCTAGACCTTTGAAAATATTGGAATGGCAGAGCCGAACCAAAGCCCAACAAGTCCATGAAAGAAAAGTGAGAATGAACACTGTTGAACACAAGAAGGAAACGCTAATCCTATAGAATGAAAAAATTGAACAAACAACGAGCATGAACAAGATCCACATGAGTGGGGGATACCCACGGCTTCCTTAGATGATTGGAACGGGGTGATGGTTAGTGGCGAATGAATATGCATGATCTCCAAGCATATTGAGACGGGAACCATTCCAGCACCAATCGCCTGCAACAAAACTGAAATTAGTCAACCATACATGCGTGGGTGATGCTCACGGCTACTAAATTACCCACAAATCAGAACCGGATCAAGTGGCAATGGAGAATTGCCCCATCGTCGGCAACTGCGCACCTGGAACTACCTCCATATTGCTTGAAACCACTCGGAACTGCTCTATCTCAAGAGAGAAGAGTGAAGACAAAGCGTTTTTTGAGCACTCTGTTTACGAAGAGAAGAACTTCCGAGGCTTGGATTGCTGCCGATTGTTGAAAATTACCACGCGTATAGACTATAGGGAGGAAACATTGTAAAAAGGCAGAAGGCACCAAAAGCCCAATAGAAACAGTTGGTAGCACTAAAAGCCCACCCTGCTCACTACTCCAACAATGGGCCTGCAAGCCTCACCTAAAAAAAAACATCAGAACTCAGATTCCGCTTCCTTCGCCACGTGGCCTCCTTCTAAGTCCTCGTAAGCGAAAAGGGTAAACGCCACGTGCCATCCTCACCCTTATTACAGAGACCTCCGAAGAAAGCTGCAACCAAAGGGCCCGCCCGCAGCCTCTGTCCACCAGTCTCCGTCCAGACCAAATCTCCATCCATCCAATCGCCTCTCGCTCCAGCCACCGCCAGCAAGCTCCGCCAAAAGGGTAAAAACTAGTTAACCCATCTCCTATGGTGAAGCGGATTCAGAATATTGGTTGTGATTGGTTGCTGCTGTTCATCAATTTCTCTGGGTTTTTTTGCTTGCTTAGATCTACGATACAGAGGACCGGAGGAAGACTAATCGACAATGGGTAGGCCGGAGTTCTTGAGACTGAGGACGGAGGACGTAGCGTCGCCGACGGCGGGCTTGATCCAGTCCGATATCGACGAGCTGAAGGTTGCGGCAAAGAAACTCGTCAAGGACGCTGCGAAGCTCGGTGGGTTGGGTTTCGGCACTTCTTTCCTCAAATGGGTCGCCTCGTTTGCCGCCATGTGAGCGTTGCCCTTAACTTACTCCCCATTTTGTGAATTCGGGTTGTTTGATCAATGAGACAGGAATGTGAATATTTTGTTGGGTGTTTTTTTCATTGCTGCAACTATCTAATTTCGTATCTGTTTTCTGGATGTGGATTGAGAGCTAGAAATCTATTACAGAAGAGATTTCGTCTCGTCGCATATTAGTTTATCTTTGCTCTGGTGATGGATGAGATCTTGCGAGAAATTGATAAATGGGTTAATTAAGTACCTTGATGTTGGCAAATTGTATGATACTTATATTCTGAGACACATTGGCCAATTTAGCTCCCAAAAGTGGTGGCAATGCTTTTTTGAATCCAAAAGTAAGATTTACTGAATCTACGATTTTCAACTCATTACCTACGCGCAACTAAGGTGTTCAACATTTCATTGGTATTTAGTGATGATTGATCATTTTGGAACAAAGGCCTAATAGGATCCATAGCTTTCATGGAATAGCTTTTTCTAGAGTGGGATATTTTGCAAACTGGTGATTCGTTATTCACTTATTTGGTATCTGGATTTCTGCAGTTACTTGTTGATCTTGGACAGAACCAACTGGAGAACCAACATGCTCACTTCACTTTTAGTCCCTTACATCTTCTTCAGCCTTCCTTCCACATTGTTTCACTTCTTGAGGTGAACCACATTCCGCACACGGTTTCTCATTCATTACTTGTATTCTGCTCAAAGCATTATCTCAATCCATATTTTTGTCTATCTAGAGGAGACTTTGGGAAGTGGGTTGCTTTCATTGCAGTCGTCCTAAGACTCTTCTTTCCCCGACACTTCCCAGGTACTCCCTAAAAAAATGTACAATCTTTTGCTCTTGCAATTGAAGTTAAGCTTTGTTTCTAATGACTAATTCCCATACGACTATGCAAAATGGAACTTGGAAAAAGACTGGCTGGAGATGCCTGGATCGTTGATTCTTCTGCTGGTGGTTGCTCCAAACTTCTTCGCACACACGTTGAAGGACGACTGGGTTGGGGTGGCGATATGCCTCGCCATTGGCTGCTATCTCCTGCAGGAACACATCAGGGCTTCTGGCGGGTTCAGAAACTCTTTCACTCAGTCTCATGGGATATCGAACACTGTAGGGATCGTGCTTTTGATAGTCTACCCTGTGTGGTCTCTGGTCCTACATGTGCTCTGAGGATAAAGATTGGGAAACATAGTGAGCTTACTGTTGAAGGATAGTAGAGTTGGTTTGATCCATTTCTCAGCTTTGTGCGTTCTGTTTTCCCCCCTTTTTATTGGTATTTTCAAATTTATGTTGGTTCTATGTCTTGGATGGAATAATATTATCAAGTGGTTTCAAGATCCAGTGCTGACTAACTTGTCTGCTTTGTAATCTGGTGTTTGCTACAATAGCAGAAAGGGGAAGATACTCGGTAGTTGGTAGGGCTGGGAAATGGTGCGGTCTAGTCCAGACCAAACCATATATGTAGTTTACTATCCCGACTGAGAGTTAGAGTATAGATCACAGACTATACGGTTCAAACCAGACCACAGTGAAAGAAAAATGAACAATTTAATTAATCAATCGCACAAAAAATTGAACCAATAGCCATGAAAAAAATGTTTTATTCCCTCAAAACTTAAATTCCTACAGGCATGGATAATTTTGACACCATAAATCTCAATAAATAATAAAGATACAAAGTCAAAACATCCCAACTTGCACCATAACGTCGTAAATATTTACATCAAATATGGAGACATGATCATCTCTACTCTCTATTGAAATGTGGTTGTGAATGAAGGAGGGGATGAGATTCTCAAAATTAAGATTGAGACTTCGGTTTCGTTGTGGGAATTGGGAGAGTGGTTGAGTGGGTTGCTAACACATATTTGAGAAGTATGCTGGGTCCACGGTTTGGTCCGGTAAATCGCGGTCTAGACCAGATCAGACCAAGAAATCAAAACACCATATAATACAGACCATGGACCAGACCAGACCATACTTAACGGTCTACGGTCCGGACCAAACTGTGCGCTCCGATTTGGACCATGATTTTTCAAACGGTCTAGTCTATTTTCCCTGTTTTGATGGGAATAGGTAACTGGTAGTAACTTCACCTGTTCAAACCTTTCCATTGGTTATGCACAGTGCAATTTAATCGAGTAATAAGTAATAACGACTCCGCAGCTTCAAAACCCAGGTCCATTACCAACTGCTAGGGCTGGGAATTTATCAAACAGTTTTTTTTTTTTTATGAATAAGCAGATTTTATTCATCAAGAAGGAGAGTTTCTAAAAACCCCCCAACTGGAACTCAAGTATCACCGTTTACAGAAGAATAGCAACCCAGGAAATTAACTGAATCAACTAAAAAAGAAACAGAGAGCAAAACCCAGGCTACACTATACTACACTATACTATTAACATAATCTTCCGAAACAGCAAGTTCCACTTGAGAGAATCCATTTCTGAGCAGTTGCAGTGACCCTTGCAGCTTTTTCAAAAGCTGGTTTTCCGACAGAGCTTCACCAGACATCACTCTTCTGCAACGTTCCCGCCAAAGTTCAGCCACCACCATCACCCATAGAAGCCTGCCACGATCAGAAGCAGTGTTTTTCAGCCGGAATAGTGATATGGCAGTTGCCAAGGATCCCTCCCAATTTGCCCCCACCACACTCCTTCCTGCAAACATTGCTTGCAACACACGCTTAGAATAGGCACATTCAAAGAAAAGATGATCCCTAGACTCCGCCATAGAGGAACATAATGGGCAGAGGTTGACCACTGCATTATTCCATCGTTGTACCTTGTCTAGAGTAGCTATTCTGTTTAAGATGACTAACCAGACAAGTAGCTTATCACGAGGTGTTCCAAAAGACTTCCAAAGCAATGAAAACCACTGCACTACCTCATGCTTATTACGAAGAGCCTCCCATACTTTTTTGACTGAGAACTTGTGCATCACACAGTCTCCCCAGTACACACCTGCAGGCCTGACTATAAGATGCTGAGCCACTTTGGTCCTAAGTTTCAGGACTTTCCTCCAAGCCCATGAACAGGGTATGGATGTAGGTATGTCCCAAAAAGAAGTATAGGTGAGTTGGTAGTGCCTTACCCAGCTCGCCCAAAGGGAAGAAGAATTAGAAGAAATGGCCCAGAGATGTCTTACTAAGCAAGCCATGTTCCAGCTCCTAATATCTTTGAACCCTAACCCCCCTTCCTTCTTAGGCCTTGCTATCATCTGCCAGTGGACTTTGGCCCTTTTACCCTCTTCCTCTGCACTCCATAAGAAGTCAGAGCAGGCTTTCTCAACCAGCTTAATCACCTTAACAGGGAGTTGAATGATCCCCATCCAGTACTGAGTAATACTGGAAATGACAACAGTGATGAGCTGCATTTTGCCAGCATAAGTCAAGGTTTTCACCTTCCAGCCCCTGATTCTAGCAGTTATCTTTTCAACCAAAGCTTGACAATCAGCAGTGTTCAGTTTCCCAGCAATAAGAGGGATCCCCAGGTATCTCACAGGAAGCTGCCCTATAGCAAACCCAGTTTTAGATGAAATTTGAGCCTGAATCCTAGTGTCTACACCTCCACAGAATACTTCACTCTTGGCAGGATTACATCTCAACCTAGATACAACATAGAAAGCATCCAATATAGACTTTGCTTTCTCTACAACTTCTGGAGTCCCTTTTGTGGATACCAGAAGGTCATCAGCAAAACACAAGTGGGAAAGTCCTATTCTATGGGTTTGAAGATGGGGAGGAAGAGATTTAATGGCATAAGCCCTGTTGAACATACAAGAGAGAAGTTCCATGGCAATAGTAAAGAGATAAGGGATCAAACAGTTAATTGGGTAAGGAGCTCGTCATAGAAGCTCTCATGGATTGGTAGACTACATTTATATCACTTTTACGTGGAAATGCATTTAAAACTTACCTACGAATACACCCATCAAGACAATGTCTCTCTACTTAGATGTCAAGAACAATGCCTCTGTAATTTGATCTCAATGCCCATTGCCTAATGGCATCAATCCTTATTTAAAGAAAGTATCGAGGCAAATGCATTATACATTAGGGTTTGTGTGGTATTCTAAACTTGAACTAGATAAGAGAAAGTTAGTGTGTGACTTAGAGGTGGCAAATGTATTGAATTTATTAATTGGCGGATTCATAAATCAAATGGATTGGTGGATTGTTCATAAATCCAAAGGACATCCTCAACCATTAGGGATGGCAACAAAAACCGAACCTATAGGTAACCTACCCAACCCAACCGGTCAAAGCTGGTAAAATCCGTGTTGACGAGTTTCGGGCCAGGTTCAGGTTTAAACCCATTACATTGTTCATCGGGTTGGGTTTAGTAATACTCGCCCACACTTATTTCGTCGCCCTACTCTCCCCAAACCCTACTTTAATTCTAATTTCTCCTAATCTAACTCTCACGACACTCACAACTCACCTGCTGCCTCCCCAGTCCCCACTCTGCTCTCTCCCACAAAACCCCCTCTTCTTCACGATTCGACCCCCAATCCTTCCCTGCTTCTCCCAACTGTATGTTTTATTTCTTACAAGCAAGACATTGTTCCCTTTTTCCAAAAGAAGTGGGAGGAATAAATTAACAATTGAAGTTGAATACACCATATTTGTTGGGTTTGCTACTCTCTCACAAACAAAAGGGAATGAACAAAAAACAAAGAACTATGTGTTGAATTTTCTAGAAGTTGAACACAACACGCTTCAATTTTCTTGAATTTTCTAGATTGGTGTTGAACAATTTGTATGAATATTCTGTGATTTGTTTGAATTTTCTAGACTAGTGTTTTATGTATGGATAATTTGTATGGGAAATTGATATTTAACTTTTATTTTGATAGGAACTTGTTATTGTAAATTTTTTATCCCAAAAACCCATGGGTACCCATGAACCCACGAATGCCCGTCGGGTTGGGTTTGAGTTTTTCAAACCCAGTGGGTTATCCGGGTTTTTTTACAGATAAACTAATGGATTTGGGTTTGGGTTCGGCAAAACCCAACCCAACCCGACCCATTGTCATCTCTAAACCATGGACCAATATGTAAAATGTGAAAACTTTAGGCACCGAAACGTCATAATGAAAACTTATAAGAACCAAAATGTAATTTTCTAATGATATTTTCGTATAAAAAAATCAATTTTGGGTACCAAAAAATATATATAAAAAAGTATATGTACTAAACCGTAATTTATCATTTGAATCAATGGATCAATCCATGAATCCACCAATCCAATTGGATTTGGATCAAATAGATTGGATTTAAATGGATTGGATTAGTTGGATGTTATTAATGGATTGATGGATTGGATTGAGAATTGCAACCTCTACATATCGTAATTAAATCGATTGAACGAAATTACAAACATAAACATAAGATTTACGTGGTTTCCTGAGATTCAGGACTAGTTCACGAGATTAGTAGAATTCTTCGTAGTTGACCTTATTTAGCTTAGTTATGACGTACAATAACCACACATGTATATAGGCATGAGTCTCATTGTTGATGTGACTTGAATCGGACAATCAGCAACTACGACTGGAATAGTATGGACTCAATGTTATTTGGGTTCGGATTCTGGGCTTGGTCTGTAACCGTTTCCTTTACCATATTGGATTAGGTTTAGACCCATATGGAGAAGTATAAATACTTCTTATTTCCTCTGTAATATGTAATCTCCTCGATATAGTGAAACTGGTTCTCTCTCGCCCGTGGACTAGCTAACACACATCGTGTTAGTGAACCACGTAAATCGTATGTCTGTTTTCGATTCTCGCTTTCGTATTTTTTTTTCTCAATTCCGGCGATTTCCTGATCCGTAATAGGACAGTTATAACACTCACAAAGGAAACCCTAATATGACTTAGCTTAGGCTCTCTATAGTTACATAATGTCACCTAAAGTAAGGGTCATCTGAAGTGCAATTATTTTCGCTAGATTGTTACTATATTTATATTGTTATAGAAATAATTATTTATTTGTTTTTTTTCATACAAAATCATTTTTTGTAGTTAGGACTCTCCACATTGATGCATTTAATTAATTTATATATTCTAATTTGATGCATTGTTTCAATTAATGCATTTGAAAATACATTGTCTAAGGTTTGAATATTTTTAGTGGTCCCTCAAAAATGCTGAAGAAAAATTGAGGGATTGACAATTTCAGCTAAAAGCTGAGATTGACAATAATCCATAATGAATACTTCTGGTGGTACTATTTTCTACTCAAATACAAATATTGTGTTTCATTTAAAAATAAATAAATGATGTATTATCTGATTGCATGTATTGCCTAAATAAATAATCTGACACTCAAACTTTCAAACAACTCCTATTATTTAAAATGAGTGATTGTTATATCTCAGTTTTTAACTGAGGTTGTTAAGATAATTAAATTGAGATTGTTATCTAAACTCTTAACTAATATGACATACACACTCACATACCAAACCTTACTTTTGACAATGCATTAAAAATTTGTTAATACATTTATAATATTTTTGTATATTCACAAGAATACATATATGTAAAAAAAAAAACAAATTTGCCATTGTTTTAACAGCAGAATCTAAATTGACTATGCTTTTGAACTAGTCTATGATAAAGACAATCGACAAAGTAAGAATCAACGGCATAGAAATTTATATAGATAGTTCTTATCATTTAATTTGAATAAATCTAAATAATATGTTTACAAAGTAAGACGTAAGAACATAACTCTTTTCTTTTAGGGTACTACAAATTATGATTATCTTAGAGAATATGTTTTCCTTTTATTAAAAGATTGGTTTGGGTGTGAGTTTTATCCCCGTTGAAATTGATAAGTTGGATTGAGTTTAGATTTTGTCAAAATCCAAATTATTTTCCGCCCAATCCACACTCATATATCATTTTGTATCTAACTGGAATAATATAAATAATTTATGAAAGTTATTAATCATTAGGACAATATAAATCTTTGGGTATGCCTACTATGACATGCATGTCACGGTGCCATGCACTTTTCGGTCGACCTATTGCTGAAGGAGGTCGACCGAATCGACTAATTTGGGCAGCACGAGAAAGCATTGCGGTCGACCTCAACGACCACCTGGTCGACCGCACTTAGTTTAAGTTGTTATTTTTGGTCGACCAGAATAAAACCTGGGTCGGCCATTTCGTTGGCGTCAGAAACAACATGGTCGACCACCTAAGGTATATAGGTCGACCACTTGATGGCAGTCATTAACAAAATGGTCGACCGGATGAGGAAAGAGGTCGACCAGATAGAAGATAAGTGTTCTATCAAAGTGTCCAATTATTTGACGTAAAATCAAGATCAAGTGTTGGTTTCGCGGTCGACCTAATCCGGTACGAGGTCGACCGAATACAAGAAAGTCACCCTATGCCCCGTGTCCTTTTTGCTTATGTATGTCGATTTGTGTGGTTCTTTTAATCGTATAAATTTTGTTTCAAACCATCATAATTAGTCATAAATAATTATAACAAGGACTCATCAATTCATAGCATAACAACTAAAAATAAAACAGAAATCATAATTGTTCACACATAAAAATAAAACTAAAAAAACAACAAAATAACACTCAACAATCGTTCTGACCACTAAAACACACAATATAAAAACTCATTTCTCCTACTCATCTCCCCTCTCTCTCTCATCCACATTTTCTTCATTGGTGGTGCTAGCATGATGGTGGTCGGATGTGGTGGGATGCATGTATCTTCCGCTGAAAGATCGCCACTCATCTCGCATCTCATTCACGGTCACCTGCATTGTGCTCATCTGGGCGGTCATTTGCCCCATGTAGTCATGCATGCCAGTCATCTGGGTGGACATCTGGCCCATGTACTCGTACATGCCATCCATGCACTCCCAGACACGCTGTAAGGTGATCGGTGGAGTTGAACTCTGTGCCTCCGCCATTGGCTCGTCTCGAGCTCCTTCATCACCCTCATCATCATCATCACCACCATGAGCATTGTTTACTCTGACATACTCACCATTACGCAGCTCAAAGCCCATCTTTTTCAGAGATGAAACAGTATAGAACTCCTGCCTTGAGATTCTTAACCCCACCTCTTCACTTAAATTCACATTAAAATGCTCAAATAGCACAGTGAGGATCATCCCATAGTGAAGATTCCTGTTTGAACTCTCTGCAGCAGTAAGCATGTGGTTAAAGATCAAGTATGGCAAGTTCACCTTCTCGCTTAACAGTAGGTTGGTGAGGAGCTCCATGTTGAAGTAGGTGACTGTCTCCCGATGTCCACCCTTTGGCAGAATGTTGTAGGAAAGCATGTGGTGAAGAACTCTGGCTTGAACTGTCAGGTGGTTACTCGTTGGCCTATTGCGCCCCTGAGCATCTTCCTCTTCATCAAGACCACATACCGTCTGGATTTGCTTGGCTCTCGTGAAATGCGTTTCATTCCAAGCACCGTAAGAATTGATTCTCTTCCCCTCGTTTGGAGCCTCAAGTACTTCCGCCAACACATTCTTGCTGATGCGCATCGCCACCCCATTCACATAGGATTTGAATGCGTGAATGGATCCATTTGCATTGCGCTCGTAGACGATGTTGTTGTAGAAGTACTGTACCGGTTTTGGGTAGTATGGTACATTGAGAGATATCACCTTCAGCCACTCTTGCTCGATGAAGGGTCCCAGAAACCCATAATTCTCGAAATGAGAATACGCATCCGTCGTCAATGGCCTTCCAGGAGCCACCCTGCGGTTGTGCATTCTCTTCTCTTCATAGTTGTCACTTTGATCCTTGGTCTGGAACAGTTTGGGATTGAACTCTTCCCATTCCGAACTTGAGGCAGCAGCTTTTTGTGACTTACTTTTCTTATTTTTGCCAAACATCCTGCCATTAAACAAGCAAGAATACACGTTAGTCACATTTTCGAATTGAACAATACGCGGTCGGCCACTCCATAAAGCGGTCGACCTCAGTTAATTTAAAACGAGAATGGGTCGACCTCAGAAGAATCATAGGTCGACCTCAGTTAATTTAAAACGAGAATGAGTCGACATAAACCCGTAACAATTCAAGTACAAAATTTAAATCGATTGAAAATCATGGTCGACCTCAGAAAAAACATAGGTCGACCTCGGAAAATTTAAATCAATTGAAAGGCAATTCAGGACATTAGACCACCTTGCTATGCACTCGAAGACACAAACGTTTGTGTCTTCGAGTGCATAGCGAGGTGGCCTAATGTCCTGCACTGCACTCCTTCTGAAAGTCACAATTGGCTTTCAATCGATTTAAATGGCCCGAGGTCGACCTCAATATCATCACAGGTCGACCTCAATAAGTTTAGCACAAATAAATCGAACTTTTGCCTTCATAGGTCGACCTCAGAAGCATCATAGGTCGACCTCGGCTAAATTAAAACGAAAAGAAATGGCCCAAATGCTCATAGCAATTGAGTGCAAAACAGATCCGGTCGACCTCATAAATAGAAGAGGTCGACCAGTGTTAGTTTTGCACAAATAATTCAAAGACAAAGGCACAACTCGAACTTTTGCCTTCATAGGTCGACCTCAGAAGCATCATAGGTCGACCTCGGCTAAATTAAAACGAAAATAAATGGCCCAAATGCTCGTAGCAATTGAGTGCAAAACAGATCCGGTCGACCTCATAAATAGAAGATTTAGGACGTCAATTGTGGATGGTCGACCCAATTCGTATTTATAGAGATTTAGGACGTCAATGGGTCGACCCAATTCGTTTCCTTGTCCAATTGTGGAACCTTTCTGGTGTTGGAATCCATATCCAATACGGATACAGTGTGAAGGCGGTCGACCTCTTCATAATGCGGTCGACCTGTTGGGTGCACAAGGGTCGGCCTATGAGATATTTGGGTCGACCTTTCATTCTGTTAGACCACCAAAGCGGTCGACCGTATTATGTAAGAGGTCGACCGCGTCTTGGAACCCCACATACATGAATTAGTCCATTCGGTCGACCGCATGTTGGATTAGGTCGACCGAAAAGTCCATGTCACCGTAGCAAAATCCTAAATCTAATGATACAAATATTTTATAGATGCTATTAGTCTTTATGACGATATACGTAAAGGAATTAATATTACGATGGATGTTAAAAATATCATATATGATTATGTTCGTGAATCCATGATTACTCATGCACCTGTAGATGCCTATTATATTGGTTCATCTCTAAATCCAATGAGCATTTTACCCGATTTTTAAATGGGTCGATTGGATTTGTGTTTAGAAAAAGCTAACTCAATCCGATCTATTACCATCCCTCCCATGAACCGAACTATATGAGCTTGCATCGAAACGACCGTTTTTTAGGCGGATCGACTTTATTCTGGTCAGGTCGATACTATGTGAGCTTGCATCGAAACGACATTTTTAGGAGAAACAACTTTATTCTAGACGGGTTTTGGGCCGGGTTCGGGTTTAAACTCGTTCACTATTTATCGGATTGGGTTTGGTTTGGTTTTAGACATACCCGCCCCATGGATACCCGCCCACAACCATATAATTAATTTTGCAGGTATATTTAGTATTCTAAGCAACTAATCTTCTTTTCGTTTGTGGAGACATATCTAATTTTTTCTTTCTAATCGTGTAGAATGAAATTGATATTATCGAGTGGAGAGTGAAGAAGCTTAATTGATAAGAAGAAAGAAGTTTTCAACTAATCATGTTGTTTATGGATAATTTGTGATTTGCTTCAATTTTCTTGAGTTTTCTAGATTGGTGTTGAACAATTTGTATGGTTAATTTGTGATTTGTTTAAATTTTTTAGAATAATGTCTTATATAAGGATAATTTGTATAGAGATATTGATATTTGATTTTTATTTTGGTAGGAATTTATTAATTTAAATTTTTTACGACAAACACTCGTGGGTATCCATAAACTCGCGGATACCCAACGGGTTGGGTTGGGTTTGAGTTTTCCAAACACAATGAATTTTATCCCGATTTTTTTTTTTAACGGATAAATACATGAGTTTGGATTTGGATTTGGGTTTGGCCCAATTCCCATCCATACTCTGCAGTGCACAGCGTTCATCGACTGAAAAGTGAAAACCACAAAACCCTACACCCAGGAAACCAGCAGGAGGAGATCGAAGTCAAGCTTCTCCTCGCCGGTCACTCAATCCTCGGCTGCCCACCTCCATTCTTTCATAGCAGGTAACTCCTTTGTCTTTGGCAGAAACTTGCGTGTATCGTTATGATTGTTCTTCCTTTTGGTTTAGCGTCATTTCTCTAGATCAATTTGGGTAGATTGGGTTTGCTGATTTCTCGGTGATGATTGACAAATAAAAGATGACGAGTTCGATCAGTAATCCCATTCTCTTCAAAAACCCATGACGACGAATCGAACATTTGTCCGAGAGAATTCCAATTCCCCTCCAAAGTTTTGACCTTTATCTCAATTTTGGCAAAACCTCAATTATTTGATTTCTCCATTGTCGCGAGGAATGACGTGGGCGGTATAGATGAATTAACTCCTAGTTTTATACCCTCAATTTGATGATGTCTTTAATTTTTACTTGGGATTCATTTAGTAAGTCTCAGGTCTCTACTTTTGGAATGCAGTGTTGAACTTGCAGAAAGGACCAAGTTCATTAAGCTTACTACCAGTAGCCATGGGGACTGAAGAGTCTAAGGATCCATTGAAAGGAGTGGATTGGAAAGCGATAGGCACGGAGCTTCAAAACGACCCAAGTGCTGGAACAAAACAAGCTGTAAAGAAGCGGCTTCCCAAAAAGATTAGGCAAATTCCCGAGAGCTATTTCCTTCCTAGAATGTCTTGGCCCTCGGCGATCGGCTTCTATGGAGCATGCATTGTTGGTGGGGTTGGTGCTGGCATGCTGGTGGAGATGTGGATAAACAAGAAAGTCAAAGGTTTGTTGATCTTCTTCATCACTCAGTCATCTCTCATATAATTGTATCGTACAAAGTTCTGATGGTGATTAGTTATCATCCTTTGTTAGCATATGGCAAATGATTTGGTGAATGATCTTCCTTGAATTCATCTTGTAATGGATTATCTTTTGTGCTGTGAACATTTTTGCAGAGGATGGAGGAGTGATATGGGAGTTTGATAAATAGACACAGGATGGTGGAATAGCAGTTGCAGGGAGGTGCATGAAAAGGAATGTTAACTCTCCATTAACAGACTAACTGGAAGACGCTTCTTGGATTATTGGTTCTTCTTCAAGACTGTCTTTAACTCTTTATGCACACACCTCTCGAAGACGAATTTTCCATTCTTAGCATGGATGACTCGCCCTCAGTATTTGCATACGAGGTTTTGTTTCAAACCCTTCATCTTCTTGTATCTGTGAAGCGTAATAGCAGATACATGTGTTTGAGTTGCATTAAGAATTAGCTTTCTTCCTTGGAAGACGAGGTTAGAAGTGTTGAGACTTTAGAGAAACTGAGTTGCAATGTGGTGTTTAAGGGGGGAAAATATAAGTCTTTGATCAAAGTTTGAAGCAAACTATGATAGATGTTGAAGGTTTTAGAGGGGTGTCTTTCTGTGTTTGCGATCGGCTGGTCTTCTGCACCAATTCAGGCAGGGGCTCAATTTCAACCCATCATACTCCGTAAAATTGGTAAGATGGAATTCGAGCATCGATCGCTGCAAGTGACCTGGTGTAACCTGTGATCTGGTGGGTGGCATTGGTCGGTCGTGTTATCGGTCGCGATTTCTGAGTTGGGCAGCCAATCGAAGCTGATCAGGCTAAACCTTTCCAGCAACAATATCAATGGGGTGGTACCTCATGGATTTTGGAATCAACTACACTAGAAAATCTCTATCTCTCACACATCAACCTTGTTGGTCTACAAATGCCGCCATCTCTTCCACCATATTTTCAGTGGACCAGTCATCAGTTCCAGCTGAAATTAGCAATTACATTCCTCTGCCTTCTCAATATCGAACAATCAACTCAGAGGAGCTATCCTGGCGAGTATTTGCAGTGCTTATCGATTACTTACATCAAATCTTCGATTTGTCAAACAACAATTTGAATGGCACAATTCCAGGTTGTTTGATGGGAGAGCATCGAGACACTTTCTCTATTAAATCTAAGGGGCTCATTGAAGTAAAAAAAAAAAAAAAGAATTCAGAGAACACAAATATCAAATGTTTATAACACAAATACAATAGTTTTATGAAAGAGGAATTAAATACTACCTAAATCGTAAGATATCGAGTTGTATTGCAATTTGTCTCACATCTAATTTAATATGGTCAACATCCATGTACATTATTGTCGAACACCGAGGATCATCATATTCTCACTACACAAATACAATATTCTCACAACACAAATACCATATGCTCATAACCAGATACAATATTCTCATAAGACAAATTTTCACATTGCACAAATATCATTTTCTTATAACACAAATACAATATTTGTATGAAAGATTAATTAACACGCATTCTATTTGTCCCACATCTATTCTAACAGTGATGGCAGATATGAGTTCGCACCATACTAATTCATCCAGGAAGGTGTTATGCTAAAGGCCGTTATTCAAGCTATCCCATCCTACATCATGTATCTGTTCCATTTCCCGGTGAATCTTACCAAGAAAATGAATTCTCTCCTCACCAATTTTTTCTGGTTGGGGTCTATGCAGAAAAGTAGCTTGCACTGGTGTAGAAAAGAGGTTCTCACTGCTCCGAAATCTGAAGGGGGGTTGGGATTCCGGAGCTTTAAAGATTTCAACATGACACTTTTGGCAAAACAGGCTTGGCGCCTTCTTTCTTCTCCCGATTCCCTTTGGAGCCGCCTTCTTAAGGGACTCTATTTCCCACGATGAGACTTCATGAACGCAAAGAAGGGAAGTAGATCCTCGTGGATCTGGGCAAGTTTTTGGGAGGCCAAAAAAGTATTGAATTTGGGGGCGACTAAGGTCATTGGCTCGGGAAAGGATACTTGGGTGGGACAAGACCCATGGATTCCCAATCTTAAGAATTTCACAATTAAAAGTGGGCCCCAACAGCGGATAAAGGTCAAAGAATGGATTGATCAAGACAATAGAGTTTGGAACTCGGACTCTATTCGAGGCCACGTAGCTAATGAGGAATTTGATGCCATTTTGAGAGTTCTGATTGGGGAAGAAGGAGCCGATGATTTTTGAGCTTGGAATCTTACTAAAGAAGGAATGTTCTCGGTTAAGACGGCATACCACTCTTTTTACAAAGCAAACACAAACTTCCAACCGATGGGAACAATGGACAAATGGAAATGGATGTGGGGCTTGAACCTTCCACCTAAGCTCAAGTTCTTCATCTGGAGGTGCTCCAGGAATGGTTGGCAACTAAAGCGAGGCTTTTTCATCGGAAATGTGCCCCAAACCCGAATTGTCAAGTTGCAATAACTCAAACGAGTCCATTTTGCATTGCCTTTTCTACTGCCCTCATGCCAGTGGAGTTTGGAGCAATATCTTCCCTACTCTCCCTCTCCCTCCCCAGGTTCTTCGTTCTTTGATTGGATTTGTGCTATTAAGGAGGTCATTTCACAAGAATCCTTTATCCATATCGTTTTCCTTTGCTAGAATATATAGAAGGCAAGGAATGAATGTACGTTCAAGAATAGAGTTCCTTGGCCCCCTAATGTCGGTCTGCAAACTTACAGAGAACTCTCTGAATGGATGTCTTGCCCGAGGCCTAATCCCCCCACTCCTGCCTCTTCGACTCAGCTTAGGGGAACCCATTCCACTACGACTCCCCACCAAGTAATCATCCTATGGAGATTCACTGTGATGGGTCGTTCATTAGCGACTCCCAGCCGGCGGCTTATGGTGTTGTTGCGGTTAACCACCATGGACAAGTGTGTGATGGGCGAGCTGAGACTCTTCTTTGTTCCACCCCGATTGAAGCGGAAGCAAAGGCTCTCTTAGAAGGTTTAAAATTAGCACAAGAATATAGATCATAATGCATTGTCCAATCTGACTGTCAGGTGCTGGTGAAAACATTGGGTAAAGAAAAATCAGGATGGCCATGGCGCTGCGCAGCATGGATTGGTTCGATGATCAATATCCTCAGGACAAATCCTGTCATTAAAGTCAAAGAGGTGCCACGAGCATTGAATGTCAGAGCGGATTGGGTTGCAAGATCAAAAGCGAGATCCAATCTGCCTGAGGACTGGATTAATATTCTTGATCTATTTTTTGATCTTCTTTAAAATTGTAATTTGCCTACGTTGTTCGAAGGTGGAATAAAAGTTGGATTAATTGTAAAAAAAAAAAAGGTGTTGAGCTAAAACTATATTATTATTATTTTTTTTTGTTTTCACTTTATATTTTGGTCACCTTTTATTGGATACATTTTGATTTCAGGACGAGGTAGCCAAACCCCTTAACCATGCTAATTTTCCCCCGTATGTTTGTATTGCTCAACGAAATCGCGACTCAATCTAATATAACGAAGATAGAGTTCGATAACTCTATATGGTAAATTGCTAATTTTATCATATACTTGCCTCACCCATCCGATAAAACTAGGGGTGGCCAACGGGAAACGAGTATTTGGGTATACCTATACCGTCTCGTTTTTTGAAGGTTACGGGTACTCAAATACCCGTAATATTTACTACGAGATGAGACTTAGGATTGAAAATTTAAACATCGAGTACCCGCGGGTTACCTGCTAATATCCGTTTGGGTAGTATGGATACCCGTTATGCCCAATACATAGCCATTAGCCCTAATATGTCAAGTTAATAAAACGAGCTTACTGTTAATGAAGATTATCCTCTTTTGACTTTTGTTCCCTGTTAAGTTAAATGATCTACCATCTGTCTTTTTATTATCAGAGGGAATATGAGATGATCCTCTTATCCAGTGGTCCTTGTTTAATGAAAGTGGTGTGCATATTTTCATGGTGGCGGCAGCATCTCTTCTTGCTGCAGGTGGCGACTGATTTAGTTATTTTCATGGTGAAAATTTTTTAAGTTTATATAATTTTGTTACTTTTCGACGAGTATATACGGGTAGTTTGGATACCCGTTATTCATTTCGTACGAGTAATAGGTACCCGTTTTCCGTACGTGTTTGAGATATGAGATAAATTATTCCATCCAAATAAGAATGGGTACCCGTTTTAAATGGGATGGGTATCCGTTCCTGTCCACCCTAGATAAAACTAACTATCAACACTAAGAACATTATAGTTCATATCTCTTCAACTTCCCACTACATGGACTATGGTGTGGGCTGTTTTGCTGGATTCTCGGCCCACAAAGTCAAAACCCAACAACCATCCCAAAACAACAAACAATACGGCGTTCCATTTCAATTCCGCTTCACCATAAAACCCTAACCCTAGGCGCAGCAATCCAGCCTATAAAGTAACAAAGCAACACGATCCCCTTCACTTCCATCTCCTTCTTCGCAGCCCCTCTTCTGCGCTGTGCTTGATCGCCTCATCTTTTGCCAGTACTTGTTAGCTCCATTGCTGAGGGGTTAGGGAAAGAAGAGAAAGCTCCTTTTGCTCCTCAGCAGATGCCATTCTAGCTTCTTTTTTTCCCCCCTGATGCCCGGTCATCTGGTGCTAATCTGCCATGGCGTCTCAAACTTATTTTGGTTCTTCGATCGATATAGTGTTTGGCGATTGTTATTTCTGTTTTTTTATTTGGTGGGGATATGGTTTGTGATTTCTCAGTGATGATAATTATCTATAGATGACGAGTCCGATTATCCATTCAAAACCCTGACGACAAACGAGGCATTTGTCTGAGAGGAATCCATATCCATGATCCCACAAAGCCAAAAGAAAATCCACCCTTTAAAGCTTTTTTTTTTGTAACGATTTAAACTTTGATCTTGTTTTGTTTTGGCAGTGGTGATGATAGAGTTTCTGTCTTAATTTTACCACAATGTGATGATTCATATCTCACCTCCTACTCATTCTGAACTGCCTATGAATCAAAGTTTGTACAACAGTTTTTACACTTTTGCACTCTGGTTTTTTAGTTTTAATGTGTAGACCCTGTTTTCTAAGGTCGTCTTTTCGATCAAATAAAGGATCTCATTTGTGTAATTAATCCTTTGCTGTCTCTCGGTCGTGGATTAGATGGTGATTATCTCTGGATTGATGACCTTTGAGTAATCAGAAGAATGGCGTGAAAGGGTTTTGGGTATGATGTAAGACCTTGACGACTGAAAACATGTTTACAAGGACAATTAAAACTCAGTTTACCACAAACGTTGATTATGCAGCAATGATGAGAATGATATAACTCAAATCTGAATTGAGGTCAAATATTATTTTGACCGGTGATTCTATTTCAAGCACTTTTGAGCTGCGAGAACCTGTTCTTATCTATTCAGAAATTCTACTCACTAATTTTACTATAAATAAAGACTAACTCAATAAATACATCAAGGCCTATTAGCTCAGCTGGTTAGAGCGTCGTGCTAATAACGCGAAGGTCACAGGTTCGAGACCTGTATGGGCCAATTGTTTTTGCTGAGATGACTATTGACTACCCTGACCTTTCCTTTTGTTTTGGTGGAACCATTTTTAATTTCCATTCCCTCACAGCCATAAGAATGAAGAAAGAGTCCTAGCTGTGGCCTGTGGGTCCTCTCTTCTCATTTCAACCACTCTGGAACCTAGAAATGAGAGAGTATCTCTGAGCAGTGAGCTCTAAACATCCCAATATATCACTGCCCATGTGGCAGCCTCCATTACCAGTACCTTTAGCTCCATCAACCAATAGCATTCCACTCTTATCCTATCCCCTTATCCTTGCTCTTTCTCACCTCCATAGCCAACCAACTTAACTCCTCTTCCCCACCTCATCTCAAAACACACAAAAATTCTCTCCCTCTGCCTTCTATTTCCACCCATCAGAGATCCCCAGTGGTGGGTTTTTTTCCCCCCACACCTGTTTGTGGCTCAACCATGGCAGCCTCACTTCAAGCTGCAGCAACTCTGATGCAACCCACCAAGGTGGGAAGGAACTCATCCAACAGCCTCGTTCAGTTGAGATCTTCTCAGTATGTGTCCAGGGCCTTTGGATTGGAGCCAGCTGCCTCTGCTAGAGTCACCTGCTCGCTTCAGTCTGATCTCAAGGAGTTGGCCCAGAAGTGTGTCGATGCCACCAAACTTGCTGGCTTTGCTCTTGCCACCTCTGCTCTTGTTGTCTCGGTATGTCTTTTGCTTCTTTACCAAGTGGGTTCTTCCAGTTTTTTCTTAGATTTGATGATCCTTTCAGTTCCAGTCGCATCAATTTCTCTTAATGGCATGTTGGTTTCTGCTTGTGGAGAGGTTGATCAATACTGGTTATTGTTCCAATCCTGCTGTAGTTAGGATTTTCAGACAAAATACAGCTAACTCGAATGATGATTAAGAAGCAACTAATGACTCAACATCATTGATTAAGAAGGCTCTCTCTATCCACCATGATACAATTAGAAGAATGAAAGTTTGGTATACAATTTGAAGAGCTAATATCATGCCTGAGTACAAGTTCAGTTGGTTATGTCGAGAAATCAGAAAAGCAGTGGAAATTGTTTGTGTTATTACTGAAATTAGCTACGATTTAGATGATAATACACCCTAATACTCGAATAAAAAATAACTAACTTCCGATAAAGAATACAACTCTATCATATAGCAGAACAATATTCGTAGTACAACATAATACTATTCGTATTAGGTTAGTCTCTCTATCAAACATTTGAGACGTTTATGTTTTTTTGTCTATGCACAGGGAGCAGGAGCAGAAGGAGCGCCGAAGAGGCTAACCTTCGACGAGATCCAGAGCAAGACCTACATGGAAGTGAAGGGCACCGGCACGGCCAACCAATGCCCCACCATCGACGGCGGATCCGACGCCTTCTCCTTCAAAGCAGGGAAATACCAGGCCAAGAAATTCTGCCTCGAGCCCACTTCCTTCACTGTCAAAGCCGAAGGCATCAGCAAGAACTCCCCAGCTGAATTCCAAAACACCAAGCTCATGACCCGCCTCACCTACACTCTCGACGAAATGGAAGGCCCCTTCGAGGTCTCCCCCGACGGCACGGTGAAATTCGAGGAGAAAGACGGCATCGACTACGCTGCCGTCACCGTCCAGCTCCCCGGCGGGGAGAGGGTCCCTTTCCTCTTCACGGTGAAGCAGCTGGTGGCTTCTGGAAAGCCAGAGAGCTTCAGCGGCGAGTTTTTGGTGCCCAGCTACAGAGGTTCCTCGTTTTTGGACCCTAAGGGCAGGGGAGGGTCGCAAGGGTATGATAATGCGGTGGCGCTGCCCGCCGGCGGGAGAGGGGATGAAGAAGAGCTGGCGAAGGAGAACGTCAAGAACGCGGCGGCGTCGAAGGGGAAGATTACATTGAGCGTGACCAAGAGCAAGCCGGAGACAGGGGAGGTGATTGGGGTTTTCGAGAGCGTTCAGCCGTCGGACACCGATTTGGGCGCCAAGGCGCCCAAGGATGTGAAGATTCAGGGGGTTTGGTATGCTCAGCTTGATTAAGTAGGGAGAGGGTGAGAGGTTGTTGATGACGAATCTGCAAATGTTTGAAACAGAGATTTGAAACAGAGACTGCCCTGTTTTTTTTCTTAATGTGTCATTTTTTTTCGTTTTGTATATTAAAATTTGCCGTCGCGGTTTAAGAAGTAAGACGCACATACCTAAAGTTTCCTAATTTACGAAAGGTTCTCTAAAATCGTAATGAGGGTTCATTAGGAATGCAAACACAATTGAGCCAAACTATTTTCAATCCAAATCTCATAGGCTACTCTTTTACAAGTTGTATACTATGAAAGACGATAGCTGAGCTCGAATCTTCAATGTGTATTCTCAAAATAATATTCGTCATACTCTTAAAGTGTATTCAAAATCTAAGGAAAAAATCCAAAAGTACCACTGTTTAAAAAAAAAATCCAAAAATACCACCTTTTTTAAAAACCGCCTCCTCACCCTGCGGTTTACAAGAAAACCTTTGGGGAGGGGCACGGTTTTCTATGCAAACCGCTGGGCTAAGGGGCGGTTTTGGAAACCGGACCAAACCGCTGGGTGGGGAGTGCAAAGTTACGTTCGTTTAAAGTTTCGGTTTTCTATGCAAGCCGCAAACGGTATTCAAGATCTCGAAAAGTTATTCGGATTAAAAAAAATCGCTACGATCGGATACCCGAGTGTAAAGTTATGTTAGTTTGAAGTTTCGGCCGAAGTTAGGAGTTGATCGGAAAAAAAAAATGGACCAAACCGCTGGGTGGGGTGGCGGTTTGGTCCAAAACCGCCGCCCACCCAGCGGTTTGGTCCGGTTTCCAAAACCGCCCCTTCGCCCAGCGGTTTGCATAGAAAACCGTGCCCCGGCCTAGCGGTTTTCGTGTAAACCGCAGGGTGTGGTGGCGGTTTTTGAAAAAGGATGGTATTTTTGGAATTTTTTGGGATTGAGTGGTATTTTTGGAATATTTTTTTAAACAGTGGTACTTTTGGATTTTTTCCAAAATCTAATGAGTGTTTGAACCATTCTTGTTGAATCAAGTATTTGATTAACTCTATGATCAATCAAAATTAATTTAACAAAGATTACATGGCCGATACGTATCAATGCGAGACAATGGTGACTGAAAATGCATAATTGTTTTTTTTATTATTATAATGAAATGCATAATGATTCTTAGGAAAGCAATTTACTCCATATTTGTAATCGACATAAATTATTTTGGAACTCATGATTATGGACCCGAATCCCTTAGTATGAAGCATTTTCTTGGGAAAATAAAACTTCCATCGAAGAGAAGCAAAATGAAAGGCTTTCATAAAAATTCTCGTAGAATCGAGAATGAAGTTTTCATTCTGCCTTCATCCTGGTCATGGATAGATCACCCAGGTTCGGGTCCATAAGCAGTGACAATTACCCTATGAAGACCGAAAATCCAAACGTGTAATAATTTTTACTGACAATCCACAAAATACTGATATTTATAATAAGAACAAAGAAACAACGAGGAACTAAGAAGAATGGTTGGGACAACAAATATCCATCTCGTTGGTACTTTGGATACCTGTATAACCATCGAAGACTGTTGAAGTGCCTAATTCCGTAAAATTAAATGGGCGTTGAGGACAAAGAAATTGTTGGAGTTAACTTAACATTTTTCGTTATTCACAACAATCAGATTTTCGTCGAGACATAATAAAAGGCTCTATAAGAGCGCACAGACGCGAAACTCCTATTTGGGAACTTGTTCAAGCAAATGTTCGAGTGTCCCTCTCCACCCATGTGATTGATATTCACAGCGTGCGTTTGGGATTCCATTCTTGGGTGGTTTATTTGGTATCGGGCTGGTCCGAGAGGATGATCAGCCACACTGGCAATTCGATCGAATTGTTTGATCTTAAAGGGATCTTCTATAATTTCGCACGTGAGGGGTTATTTCTTGGTTTCGCATAATATATGTATGTTATATATCTAAATCTTAGATGTGAAAATATACCGAATTCGTCTCTTAAAAAATCAAAATAGAACTAAATAATATTAATATAATATTAATACAATAATAGCATAATAGCTAGGTGGAAATCGATCTGCAGAAAGGTCACAAATAATAAATCGTAATTTTTAAACGTACCCCTTAGAATTCTTATTCAGATTCTGACCTCTAAGATTGTAATTAAATGAACAAACTATTCAAGACAATTATGTGGTTTAATTCGATGCAAAGCGAAGAATCTTACCAGGGCTTGACATGCCGCGAATCCTCTTGAAAGAGAGGGGTGCCTTCGGGAACGCGGACACAGGTGGTGCATGGCTGTTGTCAAGTCTGTTCTCATTTTTTTGTCTTACACAGTGGAAAATAGAGTTATTGCCGTAGCTATCTTCTTCCATCAATTGGCGAAAATATCTTCTGCTTTATATGATTATCAATTAAATAAAAAGTTATTTTTTGTATCAATCCTTACATCTCCTATGACTGGAGGGGTCACGACTAGTTTTGGTATGTTGGGGGATATCATTATTGTGGAACCCAACGCCTATATTGCGTTTGCGGGTAAAAGAGTAATTGAACAAATATTGAATAAGACAGTGCCCTTTTGTCGAGTAAGAGTATCGGGCGTGATCAAGATTAGATCATACTCACTTTTTCTAAGTAATGGGGAAGAGGACCGAAACATGCCGCTGAAAGATTCTACTGAGACAAAGATGGGTTGTCAAGAACGTAGAGGAGGTAGGATGGGCAGTTGGTCAAATCTAGTATGGATCGTACATGGACGATAGTTGGAGAAGGAACGAAGTTGCTCGAATGAAAGGAGAGGAAGGGAATATATGAGTCCGTAGGGCGAAGGAACGAAGTTGCTCGACTTGATCCCTTACAGATCCAGCCCCATAACAAGGGAATATCGCAAATAAAGCCATTGCGACACCCATCAAAGGAGTAGTTCCCCATCTAGGAGCTACTTTACCATATTCCGAATTCAATGGTTTCAATAACGAGTGACCTTCTCTTGAATTCTCAAAACTTCTGTCGCTCCATCCCCGCAGGGGAAGAGAACCCGTCGTTCGAATTTCATATATAATATAGATAATGTTGTCTAGAATTATAGAAAATGAAAGGTTTCAAGAAGCCTTTTTATTCATCTACTTGATATTTTGAAAATGAGTCAATTTTCAAGTTAAATTGACTCATTGAAATTGAAAATAAAAGTAAACAATCGAATTGGATTCGCTTCAATTTAGAATCGATCCAAAACTCTTTTTTTTTTCTAGAAATAAAAAATAGAAAAAAAAACCATGGGACAAACCGGTGCTTATTTTTCTCTCTCTCATTTCCTCTCTCTGAAGCAAACCTAAGTCGGCGATGGCCGCCTCACCGGCTCCTCCGGCTGGCGAGGGCTCTTCTTCATGGGTGAGCCTCTTTGCTGTTGCTCCAGAAAAGAGACTTACCTTCAGGCCCCCAGAGAGGGTAAATGATGGCTTTCGTATTCTGAAGGAGGTTAAGGAGAAGGGCGCTGAATGATAGAGGGATTCACTAGTGGGTCAGTTCGTCGGGAAGCGTCCAGAAGTTGCAGAGCTCCAGTCATGGGAAAACAAGCTATGGGGGAGAGATGGTACTGTGCGGGTGTCGCGATTTGGTTCGAAGCTGCTGATTTTTCAGTTTCCTTCTTCTTCTTCGTACGAATAGGTTTTCACTTCGGGGCCGTGGCATTTCAAGGGGAATCCGATATTTTTCAGGAAGTGGGAAGTGGGCATCCAACCAGTGGTGCCAAAGGTTGCCACGCTACCGATCTGGGTCACGATTAGGGGCTCACCTTTGGAATATTTGGGTAGTGATGGGGTAGAATGGGTAGCAAGTGTGATTGGAAAGCCGCTCTGGACTGACCAGAAAACTTGGGTAGGCGCTTAGCTGGGGTTTGCAAAAGTCTGTGTTGAAATAGCAGCAGACTGTGGGTTCGCTAATAAGGGTAGGTTTTACCCTGATAATGATCCTGATTACGAAATTGGTTTGGAGTATTCACACCTTCCGAAATTTTGCTCGAAGTGCTGTCTATTTGGGCACAGCTGTGCGCAAGAGCCTATGCAACAGTGGAGAGTTAAGGAAGCTGATTTTTCTGGTGATGTGCAGATTGGTGATGATGGTGGAAAGGAGAATCCGTTAACAGAGGGGCAGGAAGCTGGGGCAGTAGATGTGGTTCAGCGATCTGAGGAAGTTCCTGGTAATGGAGGGGAAAAGAGATTGAATGGGGAGATGCAGAACACTGAGGAAGCTACTGATAATGGTGGAATGGAGAATCCGATGATAGTGGGGCAGGAAACTGGGGGAGTTGTAGAGGCAGAGAATTCTTCTGTAGTGGAAGCTGAGGTGCAACAGGAAGAACAGATTATTGAAACTGACACTACAGTAAAGAAGAAACAAGGGGGTGATGGTGATGAGTCCACTCCCGAAGGTGAGACTAGTGCAAATGAGAAGAGTGTTGCTGTTCAAGCACCTTCATCAAATGGGGGCTCTCTGATAAACCGTTAATTGCACATGTTTTTGCCCCCATTCTTGAGCCGTTTGAGATGTTGATTCTTGTGTTTTAGGCCGATTTCACGCTAGGTTGTGCTTGTTTGTGATATTTCAGGTCCTAGTACGTGAATGAAGGTTTGGGAGCGAGTTCGGGGTCGATTGGACGAAGATCGAACGTGTGGCGAGTCGCCGAGGAAGCCACATGGGCACTCATAAAATCCACACGGCCATGTAAGGAACCAATGTGGCCGTGTGGGATTTAGCGAGGCTTCACACGGGCATACTGGAGACTCCATACGGCCGTGTGTCCCAGGCCGTGCAGGAAGCCTGAAATCCACTTAATCGGAACACCGCATTTTGGAACTCACACGGGCAGCTGGGTAAACCACACGGCCGTGTGGCCTACCCGTGTGATCGGGATTTTATGGGTTTTAACCCAAATTCGAGCCACAAGTGAGGGGATCGACTTTTCAGAGCAAAAACAGAGCCCTAGAGAGAGAAAGTGCGAAGAACACATCCTAGAAGCGACCTTGGAGCTGGGTTTCATCAAATCGAGCTTGGAGATCATCATAGGAGTGAAAATCATCATCCCAGAGCAAATTCTTCCCATTGTTATGAGTATGACTGCTTTGTATTCTGTTTCTCTCTCTCTCTCTCTCTATATGGAGTAGACCCTTCTCTCACTTGGGTATGAAGAACCCTAGTTCCATGTGTTAGGATCTTGATTGTAATGACTTGGGATGATTACACTGTTTGGTTTTAATCGAATGATGCCTGATTCATTGAATTGATTGAAGTATGATCAGCTTTTCTTGATTTCTGCTGCAACCTGAGATAGATAGAATCTGGTTAGGTTGTTAGAGCTTCTTCATTCGGTAGTAGTAAATTGGCTATACGAGAGTTAGTCATTCTACTGCTTTGTACTGGAATCCAATTCCAGTAGTGGAGTTCTGTGCTTATTGTTTCAGCTTTCTATCCCGGTGAAGACTAGTCGTCTGCCAGGTAGTTGGACTGTGAGGGCTTGGTTAGCTTAAGAGATTCCAAGCTACTGTCGGATCTTCCGCAGTCTAATCAACATTAAATCAACCCAGGGTAATTACAACTGAGACCTAACTAAGGAGCTAGGGGGACTCATTTCCGAGTGACTCTTCTTTTGCTTGAGAAAACCGAACCAATTCCTGCTTTCTTTCTGCTTTCAGTTAAGACCATAATCAATCGACTTAGTTTGCTAGATAATAGATAATCACGAAGTAGGCAGTAGATCTAGACCCCGGGTTGATATTTAGAACTTGCCACTTTACTGCATTCCCGGACTGCGATTACACTTGGTCGTAGTTTGGTGTTGTGTTTTGGCGTGTCAAGTTTTTGGCGCCGTTGCCGGGGACCCTCTAGGTTATTGGGGAAACGTGAAAGTTTGTTACTCTAGCTTTTTCTTTACTGCATTTTCTCTCTTCCACCTGTGTGCCTTCACGGGTTGCTTCTCTGATTGTGTGCAGGTAGTGCATGACCCGTAGCCAGTCGGGAGATCTACTACCATTAGACCAGAAGCTTGAACAAACCTGCAGGAACTTCAAGCGCACTCTAAAGGCGCGACTGGCTGCGGAGGAGGTGCTAGCACAACTGCAAATAGCCGACGAAGAAGAGATGAGTGATCCACAAGACCATGATGTGGTCCTTCCCGAGGAGCAGACCATGGGATACTACTGGACCGCCAGGGCCGCGGACATGAGGTCACCCATTCAACACCCTCATATGCCAGCAAATAACTTTGAGGTGAGCACCTATGTCATCACAATGCTGCGCGGTTTGGTGGTGTTCCGTGGCAAAGAGGGGGAGTGCCCCCGATCACATCTGAGGCGATTCCACGAGCTCATCGATGGAATCAAGATAAATGGGGTCCCAGCCGATGCTATCCAGCTGAGGTACTTCCCATTTACCCTGGAGGGGCAGGCTAAGGAGTGACTAAACACTCGACCTCCAGGATCTATCACCACGTTCGCCAACCTGACGGATAAGTTCCTCACCCGCTATCATCCTCCGTAAAAAACGACGGACTTGCAAAAGTAGATCACCCACTTTATCCAGGATGAAGATGAGACCATCCGGGATGCATGGGAGAGATACAACAGTCTCTTCCTGAGGTGTCCCAATCATGGTTTCAATGATGCTTTCAAGGTGGGCACCTTCTATCACGCCCTCTTCCTAGAGGACAAGCAGTTGATTGACTCAGTTTGTGGCGGGAACATGTTGACCAAAACACCGCCACAGCTGAATCAACTCTTTGAGGAGATGGCAGAGAACGGGTATGATTGGGGCACTACTAGGAGGTCGAGGAGAGCACCAAGGCGAGGTGTACATGCTGTGGGAACCCATTCCTCTGATTTAGTGCAGGTTGTGTCTAAACTGGTCTCAGCCATCGGTCGGGATGGGATGATTACGGGGACAGGGCAGCAGCCGGCAATGCGTTGCCAGTGGTGCGAGAGCGCCCATCATAATGTAGAGGACTGCCAGGCCATGCGTGAGTCCAGTACACCCCAGGAGCAGGTGAACTTCATCAACAATGTCCGGCGCAACGACCCATATAGTAACACTTACAATGAGGGATGGCGCCAGCATTCAAACTTCTCCTGGAGCGGCAACAGCAATCCGAAGCCACCGGGCTTCCAGGCTCCTGCAGCTAGTTTCCCAAACCAGAGGCAGCCATACCAGCCTCGGCCGGGCCAGTTCCAGCAACAACAACCACTCTATCAGCCTAGACAGGGGCATGCTTTTCAACAGCCCTCACAGCAGCAGTACCAGCAACTTGGTGCACCTCCATCAGTCCCAGCACCGGGCGATCCCGTGTCAGAACTGAGGGATCTAGTGACTACCTTGGCGAGCACTAGTACCCAAAAGTTCAATAAATTGGAGCAATTCATGGAAGTGGCTGCAGGCAAATTCATGGAGATTGAAGTTGGCCAGAGAAACCAGCAAGCACTCCTGCAGGATATGGATACCAAGATCGGGCACCTGGCAGACGCCCTTGCTTCCAGGCCGGCTGGCTGGCACCTTTCCTGGCCAACCCCTACCGAAACCCAGAAATCATGAGGGGTTGCACGCCATTATGCTGAGAAGTGGGACTGTGACTGCGGATGCACCGGAGAAGAGTGCCGAAAATGTGACCCAGATCACCCCTGAGCCGGAAGAAGACCTGGTGATGGAAAAGGAGCCAGAGGATCAAGCTCCAAAGCCACAACCTATAGTGGCTGAATATAAGCCTAAGCTCCCTTTTCCCACCAGGATTCTCAAAGACAGGCTAGAGGCAAAGTTTGGCAACTTCTCGTCCATGCTTAAGAAGCTACATGTTCAAATACCCTTCATGGAGGCACTAGCTCAGATGCCTAAGTATGCGAAGTTCCTGAAGGAGCTTCTCTCGAAGAAGCGGAGGCTGAGCGATCTGGCCACTGTGGAGCTCAGTGAGGAGTGCTCGGCCATTCTGCAGAACAAGCTTCCGCAGAAGCAGAAGGACCTAGGTAGTTTCACTATCCCGTGCTCTATAGGTAAATTGCATGTCGAGAGGTCCTTGGCGGATCTAGGTGCTAGTATTAATGTGATACCGTATAAATTGTTCAAGAAACGAGGCCTAGGTGAACCCAATGCAACAAGGATGAGTGTTCAATTAGCTGACCGATCTATAATTCATCCTAGGGGCATAGTGGAAGACCTTCTGGTTAAGGTTGGCAGATTCTTTTATCCTGTGGATTTTGTTGTTTTGGACATCAATGAAGACACAGAAGTTCCCCTTATACTCGGAAGGCCTTTCCTGGCCACCGCCAAGGCCCTTATAGATGTGCATGACGGGACCTTAGTCTTGAGGGATGACGATGAGGAAATAACGTGTTCCATTGCTAATACTCTTCCTGCTTCATCACCATTGCATGCTGTTTCTCACCAGGAGCACGAGTCTGTCGTGTATCCGTCAGTGCTTCCTATTTTGCAGGATTCCCCTCTCATACCTTCGCCGCCACTCCCGTCCACCCCGTTACCGAAGGACAAGATCAGGGAGGAGTGGCTGCCGAAACTGCAGGTAACTAAGCCTGCTCACAAGGAAGCCGGAGACCACTATGAGCGGGTCCCACTTCCTGAGCCTCGACCACCCTGGCCATCCGAGTATTCACTCGAGTTGACGAGTGCTGGTGGCCACATCCACCTACTGGCGTCCAGCTAAAAGACAGTAAAGAAGCGCTTGTGGGGAGGCAAACCCACCTAGGTTTGCATTTTCTTACCTTTTTCCTTTTGATTTTTTGTGTTTTTGAGTCTTGAGTTGTTGTCCAAGAGTCGTATGTCGATTTTGAGTGAAAACAGGTCAAATTCGGAGTTCTGGCAGCCCACACGGCTAGCCCTAAAAGTCACACGGCCGTGTGGATATGAGTTTTGGCCGTGTGGAGGCCCTGGAAATTTCACACGGGCAAGAGGGGTCCCTCAAACGGCCGTGTGGATTGGCCCCCTGCCCGTGTGAAGCCTCGACAATTTCCACACGGCCAGTTGTGCTTTTCACACGGCCATGTGGAAATCCTCGGCCTGACCGTGTCGGCCCACACGGGCACATGTGCACACGGCCGTGTGAGTTTTCCCGTGTGGCCGAGCCCAGCCTTTAAAAATCGACCGACACGGCCGCGTGGTCAGAAATTTCAAATCCTCTCGCTGGAATCCTCTCACCCTCGCCGAAAAACCGCGATCTTTCGCCCTCTTTGGCGATTTTCGACCATTTTTGGTCGGTTTTTCACCAATCCACCTCCACACCCATCCTTTTCTCCCCGTTTTCGGCCTATCCCTCGACTTTGAGGCGATTTGGACCGATTTTGAGTCTCCGGAGGTGATTTCCGGCGAGACTCTGGCGAGGCTCCGACGAGCACTTCCGGGCAGATTTTGGCCTCTTCGTCGCTTCCATTGCCTTCCCCTCATCATCCCCTACACCTCTACTTGTGTCTCCAGGTTTGATTTTGACCTCAACCTTGTGATTTATGGAGAACTGG